GATAGATAGATAGATAGATAGATAGATAGATAGATAGATAGATAGATGTATAAGATGTTATGTCTTTATTTGATATCAATGTGCATAAAAGTCAAACAACTTTAGGTATTATTGAAGTCCTTTTCCCTCACTTTTCCATTTTCTGTCTCCAGTCTGAGCTGTAAAATATGTAAAGATCTTGGGCATGAGTGGTGTTGGCCATCAAAGAGCTCGTTAGTCCACATTCTCTGCTTGTTACAAAGCTCTGAAACCACTTACTCATCGCGACTGGACTGAATGAGCGAGCAAAAGCTGCCAGCCGCTCCAAAACATCTGGGCTCCATCCAAAATTCTGCTTTCTGTTTTTCAGAAGGCGGCAAAGCTGGGTTCAATGAGATGTCTTCCGAGGATAAATATGAATTGTGCAGTGCACAGTTCCGATGAAAACAAAGGAAAGAAGATGGAGTCCTCTCCCTAGTTCATTTCCATAGCTATTTTTATCCGATATGATCCATTACTGTATGGGACTAGAACCCAACTCACTAAAAATTATAGATTAGATATGTTACTGGTCAGCTACACAGAACACTGAAACATAGTTACAGGAAAAGGAGGATGAGGAGGATTTGGTTGGAAAAATAAAAACATTTAAAAGAAATTGAAAGCAATGTATAAAATAGAACGGCAGGTGTGAGAAACAAACCAAAAGCCGGCGTCACTGGCACTGACGTGCAAAGACATTAGGCTCAAGTGATAGGCTGCTGGAAGGATAAAGGAGGGGGCTTAATCCAATAAGACCTGATGAAACCTCGTGAAAGATTGTGAAGTCTTCCAGTAACAGGATTTTTTGCTGTCGTGTTATTGGAAAAGGAGATAAAAACCGCAGCAGGATGCTGCTTGTCATTGGCCAACACTTTTTTTTACTAAAGGTTACAATGCTAACAGGTCTTTTATTTGGTTCTCCAACTCATGATAGTGTATGTCGTTAAATATGTTGGAAACTAAGCCATTCTTAATATTTGTTTAGTTAGATTTTAACACACTGAAGTCACACTGGAATAATTTGCTTTGGTGAAATTAAATCAAACTGAATTCTCTTTCTACTGTTGATTGAAAAAAAAAAACTCTGTGACAAAGGAGAATTATGCAGTTTTCCTAAACGATCATCAAAAGCTTTCATTATGAAGTCAAGTTATGAATCATTATGCTTCTTTTTCAAACCAGTCAATCCCCTTTTTTATTGAATACTTTGAGAAAATGCAGGTTCATGTGTTTTTCAACTCCACGTGACAGCAACATCAAGAGGGAGGAATACCAGAAACTCAAGAAATACCATGACTTAAATGAAAGAGAAACATTCAAGGTATCAATGGATCTGTTGGGAGCACTTGGGAGCCCCAAACCCAAAACTAGGAGAATGGTTCCAGCATCAGAGTTAATGAGCTATGCAAAATAGGCTCATCATTTTATTTGAGCATTTCCTTTGTACTGATAAAAGAATCGTTTACATTGAGAAAAACAAACTATAATTGGAGAATAATGAGGATGACATGTTATTGGAACACAAATAATCCATATTCATCATAGTCCAGTTCAGAAACAATAGTTTTTCTGTTACTCTGTTCTGTGTTGAGTGACAAGAATTACTCCGGAAAAAATACCAGGTTCACGATGAACCTGGTATATTATTACTTATTATTACTTGCCCTCCTCCCTTTTCAATTTACACTCATTTCAGTCCAATTAGTAGGCCACTAAAAATCAAGTAACTCACTAAATGATGACGTGATCTGTTAGCTACATTGGGAATAAATACCTCCGAACACATTGGGTTTCATCACTTAATAAATTTTTTTAATCATGACAACAGAAACATGGAAATCAACAGCAAAGCAAGAGGTTTGTGAGGTTCACATTTCATCACAACTCGGTCAATGGGGAAAAGAAAAAAAACGCTCACTCATGATCTGCTGGTTCTTGCTTTTTTTCATTGACAAACTCGCTTTTGTGGAACGGTGCAGCTCTGGTCCTCTCGCTCTGAGTGGGGTTGGCCCCGCTGATGGTCCTCAGTTGGCACTTTACGCACAGAGCTGCCATCTGTGCAGAACGGGATCCTGCCAAAGCAAACATAGACGGCCAGCAGTTGGCCCACTGGGATGCTTTATCTTTTCTTTTTTTAACTATCTGGTGTGCAGATGTGATAACAACATGCTCTATTATTCAATACTCTAACTCCTTATGATTGAAAAACTTTTATATGTGTCGGATTAGTCTTATTCATTCAAATAAATGAACTGCTGAACACAATCAGATCTAAAAAATAACAACATATTGCACTAACAGGACGTGGATTCTACACGCAAAGATAAAGTACAGTACAGCTAAATGATTGGGTTCTGGGCTGAGGGATGGACACTGTGCTGGAGCGCCAGCTACCCCTGCTGGCACAATAGAGTCCTTCCCCCCCAGATGGAGTCACTTTTAATGCTAAGCAGTAGCTGCATGCCAAAGTTAATTAGCATTCTAAAAATACACACTGAATTATTTTGCTTTAGGTAGATTAATATCAAACACCCCAGAAACAGGAACTGTTATAGTTTTTGCCTTCCGGGTAAGAGAATCTACAAATGCAGACCAAAAAGGAACAAAGGAACCACGGAACTGAGTTTTATTATAAAGTTTTATTATATTATAATGAACTGAAGTTTATTATAAAGTTTACTATAAAGGATGCACATCATGAAGAGAATGAGCAGTCTGAGGAGAACACTGGAAACTGAAAAGGGAATCGCCTTAAAACAGAGGAAACACACAATATGCCGAAACTTCAACCACAAAATATGGGAACAAACCCAGAAATATAACCCAAAGCCACAGAACATAACAGGATATTGTTAGAACCTATAACTGTGTCTCGATGAACTATGTTACAGCTTGTTCAGAGTCACTAGCGTCAGAATATAAACCTCTATAGAAATGCATGGATGTCCCTGGAGATGTGTCCTTGAAGTCAGCATTTGTTTCTGTGAAATCTGAGTGACCTTTTCTGCTTCACAGAAGTGGAAATGAGCTTCATCAAAGGCCCTGCTACAACCCCATGCCATCACAGAGCCTTTGGGAGTGGTTGCTGAGAAGAAAACTGGATGCTCCTTTTACTCACTGCTCACGCAGAGAACACAGCATCCGTTTCTTCCACAAAATATCTGAAGTAATGATTGGTTTGAGCAAAATTCACATTTCCACTGTGCTATGGTCCATTCAAGATGCTCTGGACCCAAAGAATCCCTTGAAGCATGTGATGATATTCTGCACTGTATAGCAGGAAATACCTTCCAGTTTTCCTTTGACTTTCAGTGTTTTTAACTGTGTGATTCTGTTTGGAGGTCCTGTACACGTCTTTACTTTCAGGCACCTGAGGGAATAATGTCTTTTTTATTTTTTAACCCAGTCATGGTCACAACTGGCATCAACTCAGTGTTGCATTTAACTTTATTACATATTTTATCTCATATCTCAACACTAAACTTAATTAATTGTAAATGTATATATTTTTAACATATTGCATGGACAACAATAAATAATTCCCCTTCTTCCCCTTCTCCAGTTCGTTGTACAGTGGTAGATTTATCATTCACAACATCTTGTCAGTCTGAAATTCAGTCAGTAAATAAGTCTGTGAATGTGTGACCCGCATTCCTGTTGCGTGTTAGTTGTTTAGTAATGTCACTTTTGCCGGCATACAATTACCATGAAAAAGACATAGAATCAGACGTATCCAGAAAATCTTCCCTTCATCAATAAAAAGTAATTCTAAGTAAAAATCTAAACCACTGCTCTCAACTCTTAATTAATTTAAAGCATCAATAACTGAGAAAACACTGTGTTTGGCATTTTAGTCAGGCGGTCTCGGTCAAACGTAATCCGTTCAACGGTCTGGGGCTTCGTGGGTCCTTCCCACTCCGAGCTTCCGCTAGCTACCTGACATAAACCGAGTGCTGAAGAAAAAAAGCCTAAATAAACGTGAAATTATCCTAACGCCGTCTGGGTTCCTGGAGTAATGATGGGCGGGAGGACCAGTGCGATAGCCGCGGGGGTTTGTGGGGCTTTGTTCGTCGGTTACTGCATCTATTTTGACAAGAAAAGACGGAGTGACCCCAATTTCAAGAACAGGCTGCGGGAACGTGAGTCTTGACCTCCTCTTTCCTCTTCTTCTACCCCCTCTGAAGGCCTCAGAGTACAGGTTAAGACCGCTGTAGTTCGGCTCGGTTCGGTTTGTTTTGTTTTGGTTAGGTTTAGCCAGGTTTAGCCGCGGTCTTGTTGAGCATTTCTGCCAACGCTGTCAGGTTTCATTCAAAGGTCCGACATTTTAAAATCTTACTTAACGACCACATCACCCAATCAAACTTTCAGTATTAGCTAAAAATCAAAACCAGATCAAGGATTTTGTCCCATTTCAGTATCATTCGGCGTTCTGCTTAGTTAACAGGTCGTTTTCTGATTAAGATGGAACCTAATTTTTGCTGTTTTAAACCTGTGAAATATTGGTTGACTAAATGTTACAGTTATGAATCCTAAGTATGAAAAGAGGACCTGGCAGCTGGTCCAGTTTGAAGATCTGATTGAAAAACTACACACACACACACACACACACACACACACACACACACACACACACACACACACGTGTATTGGGGCACCTATAACTTGACAGGACCCAGCAGTTGGGTGTGTGTGGGGCAGGCTCATCTAAGACTGGGTAGGACCTGCTGCACACCCGGCCTGCCGGATGGACCTCCTGACCAGTGACCTGTCCGGTCATTCAGGGATCGGTGACCCTCGCTGGGTGTCTTTCCAGTCAGGGCTCTAGTTTGTGAAAGGTTGGAGCCTCTCTGAGCAGTCGGCATATCGGATACAGACGGAATCAGAATCAGAATCAGAAATACTTTAATAATCCCAGAGGGAAATTATGTGTCCAGATACATCAATGTCATCAATGTGTGTCGTAAACCTCGGAATCTATCCATCCGTTCGTTATCCATAAGGCTCATCTCTAGTAGGGTTTCCATCCCATCTGACACTGGATGAGAGGCAGGGTACACCCATCAGTCACAGAACCTTAGTCAACTTTGTCTTCCATTCTTGGGTTGTGAGTTTGTTTTTTTCAGCTCGTCATTGGGCCTCAAAGACACATAAAAACTGACATTTTACAGACTTGTGAGGTTTGATCAGGTGAAGGTAAACCTGCTGTTTCGTGGAATATCTGGCTGCATTTAAATCTCCATCTGTGGTGTTTCTTAAACAGGGAGAAGAAAGCAGAAAGCAGCCAAAGAGAGGGCGGGCATGGCAAAGGTGAGCACCACCTAAAACCCACCTGGCTGCTGCTGTGTGGCCAGATGTGACCCTGCAGGGAAATTGGCTGGACTTTTCCCAGCTAGCCGTCCACCTTTGCATCCACTCACACAGTCAAACGGCTTCTGTGTTCACACACTCGGTGTTTCTGAGTTACAGCTGACCAATGTTAAGTCCACCTGTTTTAATGTTACTGACCGGGAAGATAGGAAGCTTCCCCAGCTGCGTTCGTTGTTCCGCCTCCCAAAATGTTGTTTACGCTGCTGTAAAACCACTCGGATACACCTCATCACTTCTAGTGACCTTCTACCGCTGTAACGTGCTGAAAAGGGTACAAACAAATGCTTTTTTTCCCCCTCTTTTTTTTTTTCCTGCAGCTTCCTGACCTGAAGGACGCAGAGGCAGTGCAGAAGTTCTTCTTGGAGGAGATCCAGCTGGGGGAGGAGCTGCTGGCTCAGGGTACTGTGTGGGCTCGTCCCGATCCGATATTTGGAACAGATCGGCCGCCGATATTTGCAAAAAAAAATATTGGCCGGCATTAGAAAGTCCCGATCCAGTTTTTTATTTTATTTTTAAAGTTCGATCCCACACAAGCATTAGCATCTCCTAACCGACAGGTCTGTGTCCTAACCATTAAGTTGTTATGAGTAAATCCCTGTTCAACATGAGTCTGACAACTAGGCAAGTACGATAAATAACTTTAAACTTTAATACATGCTCTTATAGGCCGGGATCAGATCAGAAGTGCAAAAATCTGGATCGGGACATCCCTTGTACTGTGACCCCTCTTAGATTGATATATGATGGAAGCATCCTGCTCTTTTGGGCTGTAGTTTGAGTCTGTTTTTTTTCTGACTCGTCCGAATCGACCCGCAGGAGACTACGAGAAAGGCGTGGACCACCTGACCAACGCCATCGCCGTGTGCGGCCAGCCCCAGCAGCTGCTGCAGGTGCTGCAGCAGACCCTGCCCCCGCCCGTCTTCCAGATGCTGCTCACCAAGCTGCCCAGCATCAGCCAGGTGAGAGCCGCCCCCCCCCTCCGGCCGGTGTTGTGTCAGGTCAGCATACCCCGACAGACCAGCATGAAAAGTAGCAAACACTTGGAGAAGCCGACAGTTTGCCATACCTTTCGAAAAACACCAACAAATAAGTAATTAAATGATTTTTTTGTACATGACAAAAGAGATACACGCCCGTTGAGGTAGTTTACAGTGTATTATTCGTACAAAACTAAAGGGATACTCGCGCGTTGAGGTAGTTTAAAGTGTATTTACAGAAGGGTCTAGCTGCACCTGCAGCCATCTACAAAACGCGTGCCCGTACAAAACACACCTCCCGCCCAGCCAATCGTTGATTTTGATTTGGACATTACGTCATCTTGGATACAGATTAATTGAAGTGAATCAAGCGTGAGCATGATACTTACTACCAGCAAGGTTGTAGTTAGCACATTAAAAAAAGTAATGATAATCTTGTTCAATGTTGGGATTAAAGGAACAGTTCAATCGATGATCAAATTGATGTACAATTTTGCCACGTATTGTATTTGCTTATATCTTCTAATTTTCCAGGTACTGCACATGCTTTAAATACGAAATTGTTAGAAATAGCATTTTTCGAAGTTAATTTGTAAACAAAAGTACTTTCAGAGCCTTTCGGTGTGGTTTTTCTGGTAAGTTTGTGTGTTTACCTTAAAGTACAACCTTTTGTTTATCATATCACGCATAAAGTAGTCTAATAAGCTTCGTCAATGTTAATCTCTTAGATTTCTGTTAAAGGTAGCGCATGCATATTAACTATGGGTATGCTGGTCTGTCGGGGTATGCTGACCTGACAGAACACCGGCTCGGCCAGCCTCCCATAAACTGACCACCCCCCCTCTCCCACTGCCTCTGCTTCCCGCAGCGCATCGTGAGCGCACAGAGTCTGAGCGAAGACGATATAGAATAAGGAGCGGATCGACCAGGAAAGTTGCCCCCCACCCCCCTTCATCGCCCTTCTATGGACCTTCTCCTTTCATCAAGAGCTGCCAATGCCTCAGCTCTGGCTGATGTTCATCAATTTCCACCACGGCGCACTAAAGGGACATAGTTTTTTATTCCGGAGTTGTCCATGTCAGGTGTTTTTTTTTTTGTTTTTTTTTTTAACTTATGTTACCCGTTTTGGGGTACTGGATTAAATTGATGGTAAAAGTTGAGGAAAACAAGCTAGCGTCTCCATTTCTCACCTCGGTAGGTCACATATCCGTCTGGGCCGGTTTCGGACTCCAGCTCATACTCCAGAGCGGTTAGCACCCATGTTCCAGGTTTACATGTAGGCACCAACCAATCCCCCAGCGTGATATCAGGAGCAGGAAACGGAACCCCTCTCAGTCCGATCGGGTAGTCTCCGACCATTTCTTCTTCGGGTTATCGGTTGTCTTACTGTTCGCTCTCGACTCGGAATCACTTTTTTTAAAAAGTGAAAAAATGTTTAACTCAATTTGAAGAGGATGACCCTCTGGGGAAAAAAATAAAAAAGAGGAAAAAACAGTCCAGTTTACTGTGGTCTTATGTTTGTGTTGGTGATGTAAGCTAAGAGCTTCTTTATACTGTAGTCACGGTGGGAAGAGACTGGAAAAAAAACATGGCCGCTAAATCATCTGCAACAGCCAGACTTTACAGCTTATGTTCCAGTCTGTGGAAAGCAGACGCGTTTCTCAGACCGAGAAGCAAAAAAACTGGAGCCGAGAGCTAAAACTGTTGCCAAGACTACAAGCCCTCCACGACGGGACCAAACACAGATTTGTTCATTTGTACATTCGGATCTATATTTTTAAAGATTGTTCATTTGTACATTCGGATCTATATTTTTAAAGATTGTATTTTTCAGTTTTATCATTTCTGTCCTATATTTTTACTTCTACATTTTATTTCTTGCTTCTCATAGAAGTGTTGTGTTGTGCACCAAACACCAAGGCAAATTCCTTGTAAGTATAAAAACCTACTTGGCAATAAACCTTATTCTAATTCTGATTCTGAGATGGATCCAAAGAGCCCATCAACCTCAGAGGGCATCTAAACTTCAACTTTCCACCTTACAACACGTTTATTAGAACCACACTGCAAAGGAAATGGTACAAATCGCCAACACGATGTGGCCCAATCAGCTTAAAGCACGTTTTATCAAACCAGAAGAGACGATTTATACACATAACGCACTCGATATTTCCGTGGAATTCAATTCAAATGTGAACAGTCTTTTTTGCCTTCCCTTTCTTCTTCAGTCCTTTCTTTTTGATCTTTTTGGTGGGGTCCACCATCTCTCCGGTGAAGGCCGTGGAGCTCTTGGCCGGCCTGTTCGGATTCCCCGGGAACCGTTTGGAGGGTTTGAATCCTCCTCGGCCGGGTCCGCTTTTATGGCCCGCCCCCTTTCCGGGGGGAGGGGCCCTGCCGGGCTTCCTTCTGGGTTCCCTGCCGTCGCTTTTGTTCTTCTGCTTCTCCTTCTTCACGGACCTCTTCACGCGGACCGACCGGCCCTCCAGCTTGGAGCCGTCCAGCTCCAGGGCCAGCTGGACAGAGTCGGCCTTCTGCAAACGGGAGGGGGACTTCTGGTTATTCTGCTGCCGGACGATCGGGGTTTCGGGTTCGACGTTTGCTTTGTTCACCTTAAACAGGACGTAGCCGAAGCCCTTGCCGAGCCCGGAGGTCTGGTCCCGCACCAGCCGGACCGCCTCCACCGCGCCGCACTCCTCGAAGTGCTTCCGGAACGCCAGCTCGCTCATTTCTGCAGAGACAAAATGCCCAAAATGTTGAGCAAAAATGGGGAAAACGGGAAATTGGGGCGACGGCTCCTCCGAGTTCTGCTCACCGAACGCCAGATTCCCCACGAAGACGGAGCGTTTGTGGTCGTGCTGCAAGACAAGAGCAGCCGTCAAGCTAAAGCCTGGTGGCCAAAGCCAGAGCCTGGTGGCCAAAGCCAAGGCCTGGTGGCCAAAGCCAAGGCCTGGTGGCCAAACCCAGGGCCTAGTGGCCAGGGCCTGGTAGCCAGAGCCTGGTGGCCAAAGCCAGAGCCTGGTGGCCAAAGCCGAGGCCTGGTGGCCAAAGCCAAAGCCTGGTAGCCAGAGCCTGGTGGCCAAAGCCGGGGCCTGGTAGCCAGAGCCTGGTGGCCAAAGCCAGAGCCTGGTAGCCAGGGCCTGGTGGCCAAAGCCGGGGCCTGGTGGCCAAAGCCAGAGCCTGGTGGCCAAAGCCAGAGCCTGGTGGCCAAAGCCAGGGCCTGGTGGCCAAAGCCGGGCCCGGTGGCCCAAGCCGGGCCCGGTGGCCAGAGCCTGGTGGCCAAAGCCAGGGCCTAGTGGCCAAAGCAAGACCCTGGCGGCCAAAGCCTGACCCTGGCGTCCAAAGCCTGACCCTGGTGGCCAAAGCCTGACCTGCTAGCCGCCGTTTTGCCGACTCACCGAAGAGCTGTCAGACACTCGGTCCACCCGGATGTGAAAGTCTTTCTCTATCTCGGTGCCGTTCCTGTTAGGAGACACACTTTAAACAATCGTTTTTTTAAGGAGAACGAGGGTTTACGGCTGTGATATGAAGGGAGTCTGACCTCTCCAGAGCTTTGGTGGCTCCGTCCTCGTCTTTGAACACCACGTAGGCGTTCAAATTCTGCCTCTGAGGGTGGATCTTGCGTCTGAAAGAGAAGATTCTTTTTTTATGACAGGGCTCAGTTGCCTACTGACATTTCCAAAACACTCACAGACACAAAAACAACACAAATGCTAGGAAAGACAACCCAAACATCTACCGTCTGTGTTATTGGGAGGCCTGAGAAATGCTTCACCATTCAATCTATAAAATAAGAAACCCAGCAAACGATTGTTGTTTTATGAAAAACTGATCTCAGCAAAAAGAGATCCAAAATTCCTCTGAATTTCAAATGAGTTTGGAAGTTACTCCACATCCAGAGTCTGGGTGAGTCGGCATTTTTGGCAGAAAAGGAAAGCTGAAACGAGTCCAAAAAGCCAACGGGAGCTTTTCCCACTGTCACACTTTCACTCTGTGCATTTCCAAATAGCTTCCAGTTTGTTTTTATTCAATAAAAAGTGCCACGGAATATAAAGATCTATTTTTTAGAGGGCAGAAACTTACTTGATGACGGCTAACTTGCGAGACATGGAGGGATCCTCTCTGACCTGCGGTGTTGAAACAGAACAAATGAGATGGAAACCAAAAAAAGACGGTTTCTGGGTCTTCTGAGTGTTTCTGCCTTATTTACCACAGAGCGGAAGCGGATGGATTCAATGGATCCCTTCTCCTTGAAGAGACTCCTCAACATCTGAGGAGGGAAAAAAGTAACAGAATAAAATATTCAACGAGGTGGTTTCATGATTGTGTTTTTAAATGTTTGTCAGAGGCTCTTGTGCTGCGTTTTTATTCATCAGGTCTGGAACCGATACCAGGAGGAGATAGAGGAAGACAAGCTGAAAAATCTTACTGTCTTTACATCATAATCAGTAAGTACAGTAGAATCTCTATATACGAATTTAATTCGTTCTGGGACCGATTTCGTATGTTAAAATATTCGTAAATTGGTTCAAATATTCCCATCGGAATACACTGTAATTCCTATAATTGGTTCCACAGCCCAAAAACCTACAATAACTCAATAAATACTGCAGATAATTACACATAGCAATTATAAGAAATGCATAATATAAGAGATGTAAAAATAAATTAATTGTAAAGAATTAATAAATAAAATGGGGGTTTTATTGGCACTTATTAGTGAATGGAGGTAGAGGTGGTGAGTGAGATACAGGATGTACCCTAACTTACTTAAATTTGTATTTATCTATTTTAAATTTGTTTTTGTTTTTTAAATATATTTTATTCATTTTTTTATATATATCTATATATATATTTTTTTCACTATGTGAACTTTTAACTAAATTAGCGTATTTATTTATTTTTCCATGACTTCGACGTATGTTGGAAGTTTCCTTCAGGTGTCGAGTCGAATATTTGATCGAATAACACTTTGGATGTTGGAAAATTCGTATGTTTGGGCGATTCTACCGTATTCCACCGTTTGGTTATGTAACCTGGTCAGAGTCAGAGTGCAGTTCGGGCTGAAGCTGACACAGATAATGACACCAGGCAAACCATCATCGATCCAATCAGCCGAAGTTCAGTTCAGTTTGGTTTGGTTTTAACAAACAGCTTGTCGCTCTGAGTTTCTCTATGCCGTTTTCTGGATGCGAGGATAGAGGGAAATACCTTCTTAGTGCAGCTGATGGGCAGGTTCCCGACAAACACCGTTCTGTTGCTCTTCAGGGCGTCCTCCTTCCTGTTGGCCTTCTGCTTCTGGCGCTTCAGCACCCAGTGCTCGGCCCCCAAATCCGCCGCCGACTCGGACGCCTTCCTCTTCCTCTTGTTCCCCGACGCCCCTTGGCCCTGCTCTTCATCGTCTGCCGTCTGTAAACTGATCTCCCTGGAATCAAAGAAAAGAAGGAAAACATTAGGGAAGAGGCACAGCAGAAGAAAGGGCTTGCGGGAAAGACTGAAACCGAGTGATGGTCACCTGTTCTCCAGCTTCTGGTCAGCTACAGATTTCTGCTTGTGTTGCTTCTTGCCCTTTTTCTGGTTGGATTCACCTTTGACCGTCGAGCTCTCCTTCTTCCCATCCTCTGTTTGCGTGCTGGTCAGGACGGGCTTCTAAAATCAAAGCACATCGTGAACCTTTGGTAGGAGGGGTGGACTTTAAATTCCAGTACAAAGAGAAGAGCCGGCGGCTGACCTTTGGAGCGGGCTGAAACAGAACCGACCCGGCCGGGGAGGGGGAGCTGAACAGGGCCGACAGCGACCCGGCTGCTGCCGCTTTGCTTTCCTTGAACAAACTGCCCGACACCTGACCCACAACATAGTCAGCTGACGGTTGCCCCGGCGACGGCTCTCCACTGAGGATAGACACAGACAAAGATGACGCAAAATCCAAAATAAGTATTAATGTCCTTTAGTAGAACATTGATGATTCTTAAGAACTATCTGAAATGATTCATTTGACATATTTTACTAGAGTTAAGTTTTAGTATTGTCGTTGAAAGATTTTCCAACTAATATCTAAACTACTTTGCATTGTTTTGTGAAGACTGGGTGAAAAAATGTGGGCTGTCTATATTAAAGACCTCACCAAACCTATTCTGTTCTTTGTAGTCCTGCATTTGTGTTTTTCTGTTTTCGTTAGGAAGGATGTTATGAAGCGGAAATACATGTTTTTGTGTGTGTGTTCAACCCTCCTGAGTGTGTGGACAACCAAAGTTTGAAAATTGCTAAATAACTGTAAGATGTAGCAAGCTTCTTCACTTTTTACCATCGCATCTCTGCATGAAACCTTCGTGCTAACAGCATCAAATAAACCCTCATAAAATCAAAAACATAAAATCTTGCTTAGCTCGTGGATCGCATATATACAGAAGGTAGCCCCACACTGTCAAAAGACCCTTTTTCGTCTAAATAATTACGCCAAGCTTTGCAGAGATACACACAGTCACCAGAAACATAAATGTAGGAAACTGCCAGGCAGCTTTGGTTTAGCTTTAAACCGTTGTTACTGTTAAAAACATGATGGAAACTTTCCTCAGATTATCCTCTTTCAGCCTAATCAGGAAAACAAACCTGCGAACTTTCTTCTTCATTATTTACAGATGATTTTCCAGAAGATTGTCTTGTTTTCTTGTTTGTGACTTGATATAATTCCAGGTGAAATTTAAACTACTCAAACGTCCTACTAGTCAACATCCACACGTTTCCTTTTCGAGATCCTTTTTGTACGTCATCGAACTCTGTCCCACAGGGAACACGGTCGAGACTAATTGTTCCTAATGTTTTCCAGAAATAACTACAGTAATATTAAATAGTTCATTCGGTAAGGATAGGGACATTTAAATGCAAATACATTATTCAATATACAAGAAAACGTTTGAATTGCTCAACGGAAAATATCCAAACAGCTTTCATGCAGGAGGCTTTACGGTGGATGTTGTCACAACCTCGAAATGTGTCGTTTCCGGTTTCCAGACGGACGCAGAACGATAAGAATGGCCAGCTGCATCCCGACAGCTTCTCATTCTCCAACACTGTGTTTGTAAAACTTTTCAGGTAAATGGAAAGCTCAACACTTTAAATTGGTGTGGGATTCACTTAAAGCAGCTGTGGCGCGTGTGCTTAACATCTGGGGGGGTGTTATTTCCACAGGGCTACGCCTCTATCGGGCTGAAAAGTTCTCGTCGTTTCTGTGTTCGGGTATTTTTTTTCTTCGGCGGCTCCATGGGGGTCGACCAGACGGAGCCGGAGGTCCCGGCGGACGCTGTCGGCAGGCGGGTGTCCTGCGGCGGGGAGCTGGGCACGGTGCGCTACGTGGGGCCGGTGCCCCCCACGGCCGGTAACAACCCAAAACACACACACACACACACACTCACACACACACAAAGGGATGCTAAAGGCCGAAGCTCCCCGTTTAGTTTGTTGTATTAAATGCTTCTTCTGGGTTTTTCCCCGTTGGTGAGAAAAATATGTGAGTCATGCTATGATATAATTCCTTTAAAAACAGCAGGAATCCAGCTGATAAGGTTCTGGACTAAGAATCAGTTTAGTTAGAGCACATCCATTTTCCATGATGCACCCAAATGCAGCATGATGGAAATGTTTGGAACCCATGCCCTCCAGTTCTCACTGAAATGAGCCTCTGGTGACCCAGTTTACAGTTTCTGAGACTCTCACCTTTTGTCTCTTGCTTTATTTTAAGGAGTTAAGCTTTAAAGACGAACCTTCCTCATAAAATGTTACAGTAGAGATTCTTGTGCTGATGTTCCAGCTCACGTCCAACCGGAGACAAAGGTCATCCTCACGATAAGTTGAAAAACAGATAAAGACAGTGAATGCTTGGGGGATGGGGGTAGAGGATGCAAGAGTGAGATTGAACTGACAAAATAGAGACAAAGTAAGACGGAGGAGTGAAAGAAAAAGCGAGAACCGAGCCGGAAAACCCCTCCGAGCCGCGTTCAGCCTGTGTCCCGGCTTGAGACAGATGTTTTGGACGCGGAAACATCTGCCGGCGTGTGTTTTTTTCAGGGCTGTGGCTCGGCGTGGAGTGGGACAACCCGGCCAGAGGCAAACACGACGGCAGCCACGAAGGGGCGCGCTACTTCACATGCAGGTGGGAGATTTAAGCTTGCCGGAACGCTTTTGGATTCCGCACGAGGCTAAATGTTTTTCCCTCTGGGCCTCAGACACCCGAAAGGAGCATCCTTCGTCCGTCCGGCGAAGGCCACCTTCGGGGTGGACTTTCTGACGGCCGTCCGGCAGGTCTATCAGATCAACACGGAGGAGGTGCTGAGTGAGAAGATCACCATTTCCACCAGGAAGTTCGAGTGGACGGGCCTTCAGGAGCGCAGGTATGACGGTCGCTCAGCTCCGGATTGTCCTGGAGCTGCTGTAAGGAGAGGGTCAAAAGTAGAAAAGTCTAATTCAACCATCAAACTTCAGGAATTCCAGGAATCCGACCCCACAGTGCTTGATAGGACGCGTCTCTTATAAATTAGTTTGATTTCATTAGGTTTCTGAAAATGAAATTTCCTCTCAGCCAACAGACACAGGTGAAACTTTAAATCACACCCAAACAGGGCAAGAGAGATTTATTTTGGAGATAAAACTGTTAAAGATTCAAAGGCCTCTTCCTCTCAGCCTCCTGAAAATGATCTTTTGACCATATCCTGACCACAACATTTATAAATAATTATACAAATGCTATCATAATTATTATTATTATTGTTGTTGTTATTGTTATTGCCATTGTGGAGTCCTGTGGATCAGCTTCTGTCCCCTAAGAGTTACTTTTAAAAGGTTTAACCGTATAAAAGGGTTATTTTCCTTTCATTTCCCTGTCTTTTCTCTAAAGTCTAGAGAGCCTTCCGTCGGTGATGCTGAACCGTCGTGGGGTGAACGGACCCGGGGCTGCTGGAGAAATCAGGAAAACAACACCCAGTATCTTTTTTTTTAGGCTCTGGGCTGGTAGGAATGAGCGTTTAAGGCTAGTGGAGGGGCTGGTTGGATAATTTCCGGTGATTTTGGGACCTTGACCCGTGGCGTCAGACGTCCGGTGGCTGGAGCTGAGCGGCTCCCTGCTGACCCGCTGGGGGGACGCCGCCGCCATCTGCGAGCAGCTGGAGCAGCTGGAGGGTCTACAGCTCAGGTGTGCCCCCCCCCCCTGCCGATCGGACTCCGTTGACCGGTGCTCCTCGGCCCTGACGGTTCTCTTTTCCGTTTCAGCTTCAGCAGACTGCTTTTGCCCTCTGACCCCTTGACCCACCGCCAGGCTTTCCACAACCTCAAAGTTCTGGCTCTCAACAACTGCGAGCTCACCTGGCCTCAGGTACGCAACCGATCACACAACACCTCCCGTAACCAATAATTCTTCATGTGATAATCAGAATTATTTTTACCTCGTATCTATTCATATTTCGCTTTATTCTTTAAAGTTAGATTATTCCTGATTCCTGTTCAAAATAACATTCTTGAATAAAGACATATCCAGAATAACCTATTGATATGTAACAAAATCCTCAATCTTTGGTACTGACAGTGCAAAGTAAATGTTTGTGAGCCCCGACCCGACTCACTGTCCTCTTTGTTTTCGTCTCTTTGCCCGCCAATCAACTTTTTCCGTTTCTTTTTGTCTTCGTACCAAAACTTACGCAGATTTCTTTTCGTTTTTGGCGTCAGATTTCATTCACGTTGGCCAGTGAGAACATAGAAACCATTATTTGTACCCGTTTTCTTATTATAAGTCCAGTGCAGTGAGCCTCGGACTTAACCAGGGCTTAATTATTTATTTATTTATTTATTCGTTTATTTGATAGCGACAAGTATATTTCATGAATCATGTCACACACTACAACATTTTAGCTAAGGATAATTCTCAATGCCTGTCCCCAGTTAGGCTTTTACACAAAACACGGTGACTGTACACAAGGCACAACAGAACAAATTACACACTAAATTTCTAAGTTTTTGCCGAGCTCGGCGATTTTTTTACTGTCGGCTGACTCTCCTTCCCTCTGGATCTCTGCTCAGGTCCTGGAGTGCGCCCCCATGTGGCCTCTACTTGAGGACCTCTCTTTAGAGGAAAACAACATCACAGAGCTGCAAAGGTGACCCCCCGCCCCCCCAACAGGCATCCTACCGTTTGCCGTTTTGCCCCCTGTCGTCGTGGGTACCAGCTTTTCTCCGTTGTGTTTGATCTCTTTAAGGCCAGAAGGAGTTCTGCAGTCACTCACGTGCCTCAATCTGTCCTCCAACCCGTTAGTGCAGGAGAGCCTGTCCAGTATATCCGCTCTGTCCAGGTACAGTCGCAGCCTATGTGATCCCACGGGAGGAAATTAAGCTCATCTTTTGGAACTGACACGTTATTCGTGTCGTTCCGCAGGCTGGAGAATCTCAACCTTTCCAATACCGGACTGACTGCCATCGGATTCGAAGACGCCGTTCCCGGTAAATTAACCCTTGCGGTGAAAAGTTTAGCTGTTGACAGTTATTTTAGCCTTTGTTTTGTAAAGTGAGTGTGCGTTCCTCTGTAGGAAGTCAAACGACCATGTTTCCAGCTCTGAAAATCCTCAACCTGAAAAGCAACAATATCACAGAGGTAAGCGTGTGTGTGTGTGTGTGTGTTTTGGTGGAATCGGCATCTGAGAAACAGCTCCAGTCTAAAATATTTGGCTAAAGGGGTCCCATCATACAGTCCATTTGTCCACTCTGGACTCACTTTGGGATGAACCACAGGAAACCAGAGCTTTCAGCGGGATTTATTTAGCGTTTTTATGGAAAAAAACAGCTAAAATCTGTGTTAACCTGCACGTCTCTCCGTCTCAGTGGTCTGTGGTGAACGAGCTGGCCAAACTTCCCTGTCTGATGAGGCTCTACTGTCGGGGGAACAGACTGGAGAGCAGCGACGGGAACCCCAAAACGGCCGACCAGATGCTGATCGCTAAACTGGGGACACTGGTCTTCCTAAACAACTGTCAGGTGGGGGGGTCTGAGTGTGTGTGTGTGTGTGTGTGTGCGTCCTCATACAGTATTTGTTTACCTTTCAGTGGCTCTGTGGTTGTTCCGCAGATCACCCCCGAGGAGAGACGCGGGGCCGAGCTGGACTACATCAAGATGTTCGGAGAAGAGTGGCTAAAGGCGGGCGGCCCGGGTCAGGCCGGCCCCGATTTTACCAGCCAGCACCCCCGTTACCAGAGCCTCATCCACAGTGAGTCCCAAACCAAGTAAAAACACGTTTTTGTTGTTTCTGGGATCATTATCAAACGGCTCTTTAACTCATTGGCTGCCAAAGACATCTATAGACGTCTTTTATGTTTTTCAACACGAGTGGCTTGGGGGACGATCTGCTAAAGCTTGTCCTTAAATATCAGGCTTCTAGACAGAGTAAACAAGTTGACCCTTTAGGTGGCAGTGCCACTTTTGATGGGAGATGAGCATAGACTGTAGGCAAATAAGAAAAACGTAATGCTTCGTTATGCGAGAAATGGCGCCGGTGAGACGCAAGTCGAGGAAGAACGAAATAAGGTAGAAACAATTTTTTTTCCTGATGAAAGAGGAGAGTTTACTCTTTCTTTTGGTGTGTTCGGTGTTTACATAGTCATAGCACAAACTATTCTGTGGCTCTTGAAAAATCAGTCAAAATGCTCAAAAAACTCGGACAGTATGGGACTCTCTGTTCTGAAAATGGCTGGCAGTCAATGAATTAATTCAGACTGGAACTGATGTATATTTTACATCATTATTTGATCCTTTTTGTGGCAATTTAAGTTGACTTTTTGCAATACACATGTTCAGTTTAATTTTAAGTAGTTAAAATATATTACAGTTTGTTAAGAACCTTATTAAAATTAATCGTTTGGAATTATTATAATTTATTTGGTCATTTTTAAAGCTCCTCCCAATAATTTGGGAGAGTAAGAACAGACCGGGTGTGTGTGGAGGGGAGTTGTGGTTTTGTTAGTGAATGACGGCAAGTTTGGGGACAGTGATTTTTTGACTACACCACACTTTTCGACCACCTTTCTGACTTTTAATTTGCATCAAAGTGAATTTTTGGTTATTATTTCCCTATCATTTTACAAGAAACAAAAACAAAGTGAGTCAAGAACACAAATCACCTGTTGCCACCGACGGTTTTTTCTTTTTTGGAAGAACTTGGTTTGGAAATAAAAAACGCCGTGACAATACTTTCAGACTTTTCATTCTGTTTCTCAGCCTAAAAAAAGTGTGAAGAAAGACTGTGAAGAAAACAGCACGTCTGCAAAAAATCTATGTATATTTTAAAATTTTCCACCAAAAATAGGGCAAAGAGTTTCGGTCCTCGTCCTCTTTTAACTTTCATGGCTCCTGAATGATCGTGTGATCACAGGAAGTCCTAAAGTCAGACCGATTGTTCCTCCAGAAACCTGCAGAGGACTCTGATTCCCCTTTGGGTGTCTCATCTTCTGAAGATGTCTCTTGTTTTTTCAGAATATGGAGCTCCGGAAGAAGGCGAGCTAAAGAAGCCAATACCTTTTGCCCTGAAAAACCAGCTGTTGAGTGGGTCCTGCCTCTTTTTTACTCAGTCCTCTTTCAAAGTCTTCAAGTAAAAACCCCACGCAGATGATGGTTGGTTAACTTTTTTGTGTTTCTCGTCTCACATCCAGAGGTTACCTTTGCCTTTCCCGACGACGCCGGGCGGAAGCCCGTTGAGAAGAAGCTTCCAGGTAAGTGTCCAGTCGTCCCTCAGCCTTTTTGGCCGAGGCCTCGCTGAGCTGAGCTGAGTGGCTTGTTTTTTGTTCCGCAGCCACCATGGACGTTCAGAAGGTGAAGGGTCTGCTGTTCAGACTGCTGAAGGTCCCTGCTACTGACCTGAGGCTTACATACACCAGCCCCAAGGTAAAACACACGCTCACAGACCCACAGGTGTGTGTGTGTGTGTGTTCTGTGGATAGACGCTCATGATGGGAGCACCAGTATCAGTCAGTGGTTGAAAACACTTTAAAAAATCTAAAATGAATCATAAAAACGGTCGCAGTCTTCTGCTAGTAACAAAATCGTCTTTTCGCATTTTTTTGAGAACGAGTCGGGCCAAAGTGTGTCCGTAGTGTGCCCTGATGTCCAGTCTTCTCCCGGCAGATGGAGGGGAGGGAGTTTGAGATCGACGGCGACCTGAAAACGCTCCAGTTTTACTCCATAGAGGACGGAGACCAGGTGCTGGTCCGCTGGAACAACGTGTAGCTCTGCTTTTTCCCTAAAAAATGAGTATTTCAGGATCGTCCACGTCCATTCACAGCTGAAAATTAAAGTCAGGTTTGTAAATATTTTAGAAAATAATCATACAAACGGCACGGATGGTTTAATGTTAGAGAGAATGTGAAGGCCTTTGTCGACATCTGTACGTGTAACTTTGTGTTTAAATGTATTAAGTTATAGAGAGATATCAAAACTATGGTATTTCTTATGTATCGCTTTGATTTAATCTGACAAATAAACATCCACAAGTCTGCATAAAAAATCTCAGAGCTGCAAATTTTGGCTATATGTATTGTCACTGCTAATGTGGGTAAAAGTGAGATACGTTTAAGGCTAATTTAGGTTCTTTAATGAAATGGGTGTTGGGTAAATCCAGGCTGTAAAGACTCAGAGGTCCAACAGGTAAGCACAGTAAAGAGCTGAGAGGTAAAACTCTTCAAACACATTCAAATGAACGAGGAATTGTCATCAGACAGCTTTATTTGTTGACCCAAGGACATTTCTTGTCTTTCCAAACACAGCAGACAGTCTTTTCTTTATATAACAAATATAAAGAATATTCTTTTAGAGCTTTTTGGCCTGGAGGGAGCCTGTGATTGGTTCACAGTGGCACTGAGCACCCAAAAACCATCACGTGTCCCCCATGAAACAGTCTACAGATGACTTATCAACCCTATAATGCAAAATGTATCATATTTGATACACTTTGGATCTTAGACTTTTTGCATCATTCAATGGTAAAAGCTTTGCTCAAAACCCTGTCTTACACGTTCAGATATACCTGATAACAGCCAGTAGAAGACCACGAAAATACATTTTTGACTTATTGCATGCTAATTTGATCAAAATAATTTCTTTTTTTCTTTTTTCATATGTTGTTGAGGGGCCAAAGAAAAACTTCAGACTAAAAAAATCCAATATTCTTCCTATTTGTCTTGGATCAGGCTTTAAAGGGATAAAGAACATTTCAAGAGCCAACCTAAAAAAACACACAGGATATTCAATGAGGACATAGTTTTTACTCAAACTGTGGAGGAGGCTGTGGTTATTTCTCCAGGTGCTCTCATGAAAATCACAGAAATCCTCTTTAAATATGACTTCAGATGCCGTTCTTTGTCACGACGAGGGCCAGGAAAAAAAGCCAGAGCCCCGATATCTGAACCTCTGACCCCCTAACTAACCCAACAGAACAGGATAGGAAGGACGACTTCAGAAAGAAGACTGGGGGTTAAATAAAATGTTTTATTTGGGCGTACAGGCTTTAAACGTAGTACCTCTGGTTGGTGGCCAGTACAAGACAAAGAACTACAACACAGTTCTGTCATTTAAGTCTCCACATGGCAACAAGAAAATACGACTTTGGTGTGATTTACAGTCATAGTTCAACATGTTTCCACTCGCTGAGTTCACAGTTAGTGAAAACAACCCCAGCTGATTTTGTATTTTTTATTTTCAAAGCTTCACATGTGCTTGAATTTAAGCTGAGGCAGCAAAAAGGCTCAGTTACTATACCGTAAAGATCTTTTAAACTGTTACAGTAGGTGAAATAAAGCTTTTTAATAAGATTGTCAAAATGAAAAGAGGCTCTAAGGCCTCTAATGTTTTATATATATAAAAAAATCTTTATACAACATTCGCTGTAATAAACTTGGAGATATACGGTTGCTGATCACATGCTACAGTCTGATTAGATGTCTTTTTCCCGCACCTTCACAGCATATACCATCATCTTCATCACATAGAAGTTGGCTCACATCAGCACCATTCAAACAAAACCACAACAATGTTATCAGTATGTAAGATCATTATTTACAAGTTCATATAAAACATAACGTGAGTTGAAGTGTAACACCACCCCAGGATCTGGATTCTGTTAGTTAAAGGTTCAAATTAAAACCTACCGACATCGACAGAGATGAGACAGAATTTTTAAAATTTTTATTCAAGGCAGTGAGTTACCTTATCCACAAAAAATGCTCATTGGAGAAAATTATGTATATATATCTATATATATAGATATATTTATGGAGAGAGAGAGAAAGAGATACATATATATATATATATAGGTATAAGAAATGTCTTCTTTGTGTGACTTAACTCTTATTTCATTACAGCTGAACTAGTGAATTTAAAAATATTAGTGAAATTTGAGGGCTTCTAACTTTAAGAATGCAAACAGACAAGAAAAAGAAAAAGATAAAAACATGTTAAGCAGACAACCTTAAGTTTGCTTTTCATTTACTTTTTAAATATAGGCAGGTCAGTCATGTGCAGTCTCTGAATAGATCAAACAAGCCTTCATTTATGTCAGTGAACTAAAAACAAGGTAATGGTCACAAATAGATAAATAAATCATTCTTAAGTTCACAGTAACAGACTGGAAGTGACTGTGTGACATCATAACCACGGTGACCTAAGGTTTATGAACACATGAACTGAAACGATGCACAGAACCTTCTCTGATTGAGAGAATGAAGGTACTCCAAAAAGAAAAGGGCTACAGGTTCCTCTCCACACAAAGGCCGTCGGCGGCGTCCGGGCAGCGGCAACTGAACCCTCCCAGCCGTGGAAGACAGAGGTGGGAGCAACGCCCGTTGCTGGAGCAGTAGTTATAAACTGAACAAACGGAAAAGAGAGGATAAAGTGTGATAACGGGGAAAAGCCCTGAGGTGCTCAGATCCCCACCTTTAGAAAATTCCCATAAAAGAACAGTATAACATTCGTTATTACACGTGGGAAAAACTAAGTACAGCTGGATTTATTACCATTTTGTTGACAGATCAAGCAGCTGCTCGCGCGATATGTAAAAAAAACCTTAATGCAGCTTTAGGAAGTTTGGTGGGAATTGTTGGGTTTCTGTAATTATCTTCAGAGTAGGGTCTGACCTGCTCTGTTTGGAAAGCGCTGTGAGACAACTGTTGTTGTGATGTGGCGCAATATAAATGAAATTGAATTGAATTGAATTCATTTGAATTTTGTAATGTCATTATCTGAACGTGTGTTTGGACTGATTTTGTATTTTGTGATTTTGTGTTGTTTGGTCTTCCTGCCTCAGGACGACAGATGTAAACTAGCAACTATGCTATAATCTGGCTCGTTTACAATCTGTATGAGATTGTTCATTAATGTGCACTGTCCTGATTAAATAAATAAATAAAAATTCGTCATTTCCCAGCTGAAACTCACTCCTCTTCTCTCATGGCGGCCTGCTGTATAGCTCAGGGCCGGACGCCAGCTATGAGTTCACACACCGGCAGCTGGCCTCTCAGAGGATGCTTCGGCATATCTGTCCGCGGGCTATATGAGCCCGCAACACTTCACCCGATAGCCACATCTGTGCTCCCACAGTATCAAACTGCTCCGGTCATCAGGCATGAGATCATACAGCGAGGGGCCACGAGAATAAAATCCCTGTACAGGAACCTCCTGTTCTCTTCATTCCATCTATTTGCTGCAGATTGATATTAGTATCCTCTATCTAATCTAATGTAAAGTCTAATCTGGCCTCTGGATTGTTTGCAGCTTGTGGTCAGCGGTGTGTGAGGCTACACTAATAATCTCTTTATAGTGGATCTTGTTCATAATCTTACTTGGTTGAAAAAGATTTTTTTTACTACAGAAGAAGTGATCCTGTGATCAACTGTTTTGTATCTCTTGTTCTCTCTGGTAACGTTTTGTGCCAGTACTTTGTGTTCTTCAAAATAAAATGTATAAAATGTTACTATACGTTTTTCCTGAGATGCTGAAGCCATGTTCTGGCGTTCTTAAATGTGAGGTTAATCCTCGTAATAACTGTTTTAGCATAGTGAGTTAACACGATTACACAATTCCCACCATGAGCAAGCACTAGGCGACACAGGCAAGGAAAAACTTCCTTTTAACAGGCAGAAACCTCAAGCAGAACCATGGCTCAGGGTGTATTTAAACATCTTGTACATTTATTATAATTGTTACTGCTCTGACATATGTTCTGATCATTTGAATAAAAAGTGAATGGCAAATTGGAGCAAAATATTTTCATTTCTCTGCAATATTCCTCATCTGCTGAGCCATCTTACCAGTCTGAGTGAGTTAACAGCAGAGAGGAATCAGATCTTACGTTCACACAAACATGATGGCAATCATTTCCAGGACTCAACTAAAATGTCATTTTAACTTTTCCATTTTAAAACGATTTTCCCTACTGGGGATGAATGAAGTATTTTTCTGTTCTGTTCTATCTTTACGCTTAGGGAGGTCAACATCAGGACGAGAACTTTTTGGTTTGACATACAGAAATTATCTGTACCTTGCGGACACTGCTTCGACGTGGTGGTGATGCCGTACAGCCGGGAGCGTTTCTGTGGCAGAAACTCTTCCGTCTCCTTCTCTAAGTGTCGGTCCACAGATACGACCGCCTCCCTGGAAAGTGTTCGCAGTAGCAAACCATGTCGGTTTTGTCAGGTTTCATCGACTCGAAATGACATCACGTACTTAAAACAGTTCATTGACAAGCAGTCGAGCATTTAAGTAAAAAAAATACTGAGGAAAGACACAAAAAGCATCAGATAAACTCAGATTACCAATAATCTGTAATGTAAAATCAGATCTGTTGTTGGCCTCACTGTTAAAGAGTCACCAAAAATGGTTAAACTAAATAACTTATGACACAAATTAAGATATTTTGTTAGTGTTTCTGGGAAGCTGGCTGTATTTTTCAATACACAATTTTCTATATTTGAAAAACTGTCAACCAGAACTAAACACCATGTCAGAGGTTCTTTGTAAAAATTCAATCAAAGCGCATTTCAAAAACATTCGGACCCCTAAAATTAGGACAATGCATTGTATTTGCTAATCTGTGTTTGTCCCAATGTACCTTCTCCAGTCGGTGTAGTAAAGATTTCGCCCAAAGGAGACCAGAGCGAAGGGGTACTGGATCCCTTCGATGATGGGCCTCCTCAGCTGGCGGTGGGGATCCATGCACTCCACCTTTCGGGTCCCTGAAAATGAAATCATTCAGTCTTTCCGGACTAGTTAGTCGCCCCGAAAGATGTTCCTGGATCTTATGAAGATCTCTCCCACCAGTGGTCACTCACCTGCGTCTGCCCAGCACAGCTGCTGGCTGTCCAGGTCAAAGGTCAGACCGTTGGGAAGCCCCAGGTCGTCCTTCACCAGGACACTCCGCCCCGTGCCGTCCATGTTGGACATCTCGATTTTGGGCCCGTCTCTGTTCCAGTCCGCCCAGTAGAGCCGCCTGAGACCAGCAAGATCAGCAGTTAGAGTGACCACAGCCTCAACTGCCCCTCACAAGCCCGTTAGAACAATTAAAACTACTGCTAATGCTAATATGTTTAGCTTCACATGTGGTATGTCCAGTTACCAATCTTCTAGACAAAAAAATGAAAAGTTATTTCTCATTCCTCACCCATACGCCGGGTTGGTGACGATGGGTCGGGGGTTGACCAGGTCTTTATCGAACAGAACTCGGCGATGGCTGCCATCCAGCTTGGAGACCTCGATGGTGTCCCTCATGGAGTCCGTCCAGAAGACGAGACGCGCCACGTGGTCGATGGCGATGCCTTCGGGACTCAGGAGCTCTGACGAAGAAAACGTATGCGAACTCGAATTCAGATGCTCGAAATGTCAGTTAAGCGGATATAAGACGGTATGAAATAGATATCCCATCACTGGGAGCTAAACAGGAGCAGTAGTTGAGCCATAATCAGTCTCATAAAGTGATACCGGACCAGGCTTCACCTGTTATGAGACAAGCTGTGGTCATGTAATATGGATTGACAGAAAAAACAACCCAGTTCAGGACAAATAGAATCCAGTTCATCGTCATACAATTCTAAGTTTCAGAAATCAAATTCCAAATGGATCCAATTTGTACAGAGACATCTAAAAAAGGTTTCACAGAATGATAGTGGAAAGAAAAAACAGGGAGGATGGTCATCTGTCTCTATAAGTTGGGTTTTTACAAAGACTGAAGTACCACAGCTTGGCCAATGGCTGACCAGTGGAGACCACCAACAGTCATACAAAAATGTTACAGAGCTCAGTTCAACTGGACTCTTTCTGAGGTCAGAAAGAGTGACATTCTCAATCGATGAAGCATTAGATTTCTGGCTTCTGGTCACTTTGTGCACCTTTACTGATGACCGGAATGATTTCGCCTCCGTCCAGACTGGCCTTGCTGATCGCCGGGCCAGTTATGTCCGTCCAGTAAACCATCCGGTCCACGCAGTCGTAGGCCACGGCGATCACCACCCGGTCCTAAAAGAGAAAACACACGGCTGAGCTCAGGACAGATAACATGCAGGATTCATGACAGAGACAAGACCATTTTAATAAATTGGTCGATCAAAAATGTTAACAAACAGCAGCTCTTCGGCAGTTTGGTTTATGAGGACCAAAAAGAATTGAAAATCTTTAAAAAAGACTATTTGGCTGTTGCCATAACACCACGGTTTTGTGGTTTATTTTGCTATTTGATTCTAGTTTTGTTCATACATGCAGATATTTTCACAGCTTTTTTTACATATGAACTGATTCACAATTCACATACAAATGCTCTTTCAATCAGAATCAGAATCAGAATCAGAAATATTTGAATAATCCAAGAGGGAAATTATTTAAAAGTTATGTCATCACAATGGATGTTTAAGTTGATGTCTACATGAAATTGCAGAGAGTATCCATCCATCCATTTCCGTTCTATCCCAGCTGTCAGTGGTCAGAGGCGGGCTCACCCTGGACTGGACTTTATATTTTGTGTGGAATTATGTATATATTTATTTATATTTTGTGTGGAATAAATATATATACACTATATGCTGTTGTATATGTGGAGTTGGAAACAAAAATAATTTCCCTCTGGGATTAAAACTATTCAAGTATTTCTGATTCTGATTCTGATCTCTAGTAACATCTAATGAGATTCTTCTCTCCCTTCTTTTTTCCAACCATGATGGACTGTGGTGTTTTTTTAGAAACGAAAAATAGGAATTTCGGCCGAGTGGTGAGGTCATTCTTACGGGGATGTGGAGCAGAGGTTTGGCTTCCTGTTGCTTCATGCTGAATCCGTCCAGCGGAATGTGTTCGATCTTCCCGCTCTGGGCAAACAGCAGATGTGCTCCAGCATCGATGGGGTGCACGTCGGGGCGTGGGGTGGGACCCACCGCGGTGGGGGTCACGACTTGGTTGATACCTGTAGTTTCAAAGAGAAGGTGTCCAGATATCTATGGTCAGATATTTACAATAAGCACAAGGAGATGACATCTACAGTTGGGGAAATGAGTATTTGACCCCTTGCTGATTTTACAGGTTTGCCCATTTACAAAGAATGCTTATTTTTACTCATCAGATGGTTATCAATTTTTATAAATTCATATGATGTGATTTTCTGGAATTTTCTTTGGGATTCTGCCTTTCACTGTTAGAATGTACATATGATTAAAGTTATAGATCGTTGCATTCTTTGTAAGTGGGCAAACCTGCAAAATCAGCAAGGGGTCAAATACTTATTTTCCCCACTGTATTTCCACAAAAATAATGTGTCGTTTTTGGAAAAATCCAAAAGGACAAAAGGAAAAAAAAGTGTCACATCTCAGCTACACAGAACTTCAAACAGATTTGATCCCATTTATTCTATCATTTAACATTCAGGACACGACATTTGAAAATGTCCACTGTTTTGCTTGAGAAGGGATCAATCCTAAGGCCGGTACTAGACTTTTAAGCCGAGCACTCACACAGATGCGTGGTTCCGGGTCCGGTGCGGGTGTTGGGGATCTCCTGGCCGCTGGCGTCCACGCACCAGCACTGACCGATGCTCCGCTGGCACTGCGTGGGCTCGTAGGCTCCGTGCGCGTCGCACTGGGGAACGTACGGCTCCACGGCGGGCCGCGGCAGGAAGAAGGAGAAGAAACCGGAACTCGTGGGAATGGCGGCCTGGGCTCTCTGTCGGTGCAACTCGCAGGGGGTCATCTCAGGTTCTAAAGGATCCAGAAAAACAACCAAATATCAGCAGAAACGTAACAGAAACATGAACGTTTTCCATTTCTGTGACAGTAACTGAACCTTCTGGGAGGCAGTAAACACACATCTGCACCTTGGGGTTGGAATAACCTCCAGAAAGAGCTCAAACTAAAAACTCTAGTGTCCATTAATGAATTTAAAGCAACCATGAAGAGTGTAGTGATGGAGATATGTGCTTGTCTTTCTTGAGATGCTCAATGTGTTTTAACATATTGCTCTGATTTTATTATGTAAAATGTAATATGTATGATTTTTTTGTGGTTTGGCTGCTACCTTGGCCAGGTCTCTCTTGAAAAAGAGATTCCGAATCTCAATGAGACTTCCTGGTTAAATAAAGGTTGAATAAAATAAAAAAAATACTACACTGTTTAGACTTTGGATGTGTTTGTTCATGTCTGTGTGTGACTTGTTTTTTGGATTCCTGCTTTGAATCATTGGTTCAAATCAGGGTGTTATTCATTTTGTTTTCTCTTTATTTGTATTTTCTGTTCATAGCCCATCTCATGTGTGTAGCTTTGGTCTGTAGCATTTTGCCTCATTTGAGTTTAGCTTCCAGTTCCACCTGCTTACCAGCAGCTGTCCTCAGTTCCTTTGTTTGTTCTTCTTTGTGACATTCACTGTCATATCCTCATTGCTGCCAACTTTTGGAGACGGACCGTAATTTTAGAAAATCTTACCTGTATTATTTCTGTCTTTTTTTTTTTTTAGTTCTGCAGTGTTTTTGGTTAATTTGCCACAAACCGTAACGGTGTAAATGTCAGACAGAAATATCAGGCATATCACGCTTCACAGAGCAGGAGGAAGAAGCAGGAATATGCCTCTGGAGGGAAAATAAATCAGCAAAGTTGAAAATACCGGCAGTGTCTGTCTCCTCTTTTTACGTTACATCATAAATTTGAAACTTTTTTACTTACAGCTTAAGGGAGAGAAAGTTTTGGTGCGTGTTAAAACAATTTTTTTTTCCAGAGTTACTGTATGTCTAGACGTATGTTGCCTTACAATCAATGCACCAAAAGATGGAGGGATTTAAAACCTCTAACACACCTCTGTAATCATCAATAAATAACTCAAGAACTAAAAATAACTTAAGAAGTTAGAAAAGTCTGTGTCTATACAGCTAACCGGTGAAAGCCACTTCGGTCTTTTAAGAACGATGGTTGTCTAGCCTAAACTAAACTTTTTGTTCCGGTGAAAGAAGTCGACAGCTAACGTGTAAAAATATCAGTATGGACGCTCTTCCCAGTCAGCCTGGATTTGTCTGGATGACAGAGCATCACACTACCTGTTTAACACATTAAAAAATGTATACCACAACACTCTGACACAGAGCAGGAAACATAGAACTGATCCCAAATTCCATTTTAGTGAGTTGAAAGACTTTACTAAAGGGTATAATAATGTGGGAACTTCCTGTTGAAATAATAGGTAACTTTGAAATACACATAATATAAATAACTGTTCAACTAAAAGCAAAATAGGGAATAATATCAGTGTTCTTTCTGGGTGTACATTCTAGGTGAACTGATGTCTTTTATTTGTAAAGAGGGGAGAGATAGGCTCTACCTCTATCCAGGACATGGACTAATGGGTTATTAAAATAGACGGACCTGTTTACTGGCATATAATCGGAAATAAAACTGAACTAAATTTGATATAATAAACTAAAAAGGACAACTGATATTCATGAATAACAAAAACTTAAGTATAGTCGACTCAACTACGAAAACAGCTTTGAAAAACACATTTGGAACATAACGGCTCCCGAACTGAACTTTTTTAAGTACGTGGCAGGGGCGGATGAGGGTGTGTGTGTGTGTGTGAGACGTGGAGAGAACTGAAGATTAAAGGCGAAGCAGGAGCTCTTTATCTCTGCGGTCGCATCCAGAGGGCCGTTCTGACGCGCGACAGAGGCTCCACACTTCACGCGCGGATCCTTAAAAAGGTTTCCTATCTGCAAGGCAAAAACCGCACAGCAGCCAAAACAGTCCCAGACGGCAGACGAGGTGCTTCCAAACAATCAGACAGGAGACAGGACCCCCTCGGAGGGGCCGGATCAAAGGCCGACCCGTCGCGTGCTGCTCACCCAGAGAGAGATATGCGGTGACAAGTTTTGACAGGGGACACTAAATGATGCCTCTCGGGCCGCCAAGAGGATGAAAATATGAGAAAACTTTGGAACCGGAGGAGCGAGGCTGTAATTAGCGCACAGCGCCTGACACCTGGAATCACTGGAGGATTCGGCTCCAGGTCAACGGCAAACCTCCAAGAGACAATAACAACAACTCAGGAGGAAGAAAAACCAACATCCGGGCCCGGTGCCAGCCAATCAGCTGCCTGTGTGCTAAATATAACTATCTGATGCAAGTGGGGAAAACATGGGGTTCTTTTACGGTAACTAAAGGCCTATTTTTACATGTCGAAAAGTGGTGGAGCTTTATGACTTGGGAGTATTGAAAACATAGTTTTTATTTGGGATTTTTCCATTATTTACAGTGACCTGCATCCCATCAGATCAGAAGATAACGGTATTGGCAGAGAAGGGCGAATAAACTGAAAAGCAACACTAGAAAAAGCAGGAACTGCATAAAAGGGTTGAGAAGAAGAAGAAGGAGAGTGGAAACGTATCCACAAAAGAAAGAAAATTAAATAGAATAGAGCACAAAAAGAAACTTTATCATTTAGAAAAATCTAAATATCGCTCCTGAACTTCAACAACATTTCCAGCCAATTCCAGCCATTGTTCCCTCCAAAGGTAGCTCTCCTAAAACTAAAGATTACAGTTTTCTTTTGGTCGGATTGCTCTTTTAGGGCGGCCTCTGTTGAAGATGACTGTGTTTCCAGCTCACAGGTGTCCCTAAAGGCCAAGCCATTTTTATTCTGTCAGGAACACAACTAATAGATTGTTTTGGGAATGTTTTAGGAATTCTTTTGCCATTTCTATTTGAACATGAACAGCTGGAAGTCATGTGTTGAGGATGCTTGAAAAGAAAACACTTAAATTGTTTAAGAAAGCTCTAGACTTCTGTTATGATTTTATGAAGTGTGCAAGGCTAATGCAGACATATAAAGAACAAGTAAAATAAATGACTTTTTATACTAAATGACTTTGTGACATATTACCGTGAAGTTGTGGGTCAATGTTTCTGACGTTGAACCTTTTAATTCGGATATAGAGATAAAGAGGAAACCTTGTGCTCTGTAAACACACACTATGTCAAGATCTATGAAGTTTTATCTAATATATGTTGTTGTAGTGTTTCTTTCTTCACAAATTCTGGTTTATGAACAGAAAAAGTTGTTTATCAAAGTCATATAGAAGTTCATTGCTCCATTAGGACCATCAGAAACATTCATTGTGTAGGTGTAACATGAAGCTCATTTACATTATGATCACTTCACCAACATCTTTCCCCCCCCCGCCACCGTGTCTCCGTGTACCTACTCCCACACAGCTATGACAAGAATCTTCTTAGAGACAAATGCCCCCTCAGAGTTTCAACAGCTTCTCTTTGTCCCTGTGAACCCACATTCAGTCTGAAACACTTACACAACCGAACTGTAAGAAGCATAGACACAATGAGTGTGACGTAAATAAAATGGCAAAGAGCCATGTAGCAAACCATTTTAGATTTAAACTGACAGCTTATCGAAGAAAGCTGGATTTGCTGGTTATTTCCATCAATGACATTAAAATCTATCTACCACCATGATTGATAACACTGCACTGTTGTGCGATATTCTTCTTTTTTAGGTATCTGTGCAGTCTTGCAGATCATTCCCCGATATGTGCTCCCAGACCGCGGGTTTGGACCGAAAACCTTAGGTTAGAAACCTCCAGCATGTCAGTTTGTTCCCCCACCTGAGGACTCGGGGTTGCACTGGAAGCCGTCTCCCCGGAAGCCCTCGCGGCAGCGGCAGCTGAAGGAGCCCTGCGTGTTGTGGCAGAGCGCGTCGCGGTGGCACCGGTCCTGCTGGCACTCGTCCACATCTGTAGGCGGAACAAAAACGGAAGCAAAGATGAAGATCCTACCATGGATATCCGTGAATGCTTCTGCTGTTTTCAGTGTGGAAAAGTACGTTCATAAGGAATTTGAAGACGCAATTTCTCCAGATTCTAGGCAAATAAAAAAGGAAATAACAACCGAGACCAATTCAATTCAATTCTATTCTATTTATATAGCGCCACATCACAACAACAGTTGTCTCTCAGCGCTTTCCAAACAGAGCAGGTCAGACCCTACTCTGAAGTTTATTACAGAAACCCAACAATTCCCACCATGAGCAAGCACTAGGCGACACAGGCAAGGAAAAACTTCCTTTTAACAGGCACAGACCTCGAGCAGAACCATGGCTCAGGGTGGGCGGCCATCTGCCTCGGCCGGTTGGGGGTGACCGCAGCTCAGATGTAGTATTTGGGGGTTTAAGGGGTGCTGTTGCAAGTTGAGATAATGGAGAACAGCTAACACGTAGCTCTGAACTCACCGTTACACATCCGCCCGTCACCCTCATACCCAGGCAAGCATGAACACTGATAGGCCGAGCCCCCTCTGTAGCTGCACTGGGCTCTCTCCGGAACATCACAGTCATGGCTTCCTCTCCGACAGTGATCCACCGGGCGGTTCTCCTCTGGAAAAAACAGCGACAGAACATGTCGGAACTGCCAAAGCTGAGGAGGGTCAGCGGTAGATCACAATCCCGTGAAGGTTCTTAGAGACAGCTGTCGGAACAATGTTGATCCAGTGAAGAAAATCCTCTGGTGAGTACTATGCCAACTTGGTCTTGTTGCCCAGATATATGTCATGCTTTGTCAGAAACAAAAACCTTTATGCTCTCTTTTTCCAAAGGAAACTTTGACTTGTGCGCCATTGTTACATAGCCGACATCAGAGTTTCCTTTAAATGTTACGAGGATTAAAAGAAACATTTCAAACTGGTCAAATCTTATCCTGGTAATCAAGAAATTAAATTATCTTAATGAGATAAAGCTTTGAATACATTGATTGATATTGATCTGATTTTTATTTCTCTCTATTTTAGGTTATAAAACCGACAATGCAAGCACGAGGCTTCAATGTTTAATCATGAGAAGCTCAAGTGAAAATGAAAATGTCAGAATAAAGCATTGTAATATCATTTAACATCACTAAGCTGTAGTTTTACATGTTTTTGTTCAGAAATTAGTTACATTTTTATTTGCTGACTTTCAATCGCATAAAGATGACGTGAAGCATAACTGAGGAGTTTGAGATGAGTATATTGCTGACTTCAGGATTATCTCTTTTTACAGATGGACAATAAATGTTCTTATGGATTTATATATATATAGAGAGAGAGTTTATAACATATATATCATGTAGAGTTTATAACACAATTACCACTCATTCAACCGCTGTTTTAATTAGATTTAATTTAATCTAATTTGATTTTTTTGTATTTATTCTTTGTTTATGCATTTAGAAGTTGCTTTTATCCAAAGCGATTACATAGAAGACCCAATTTTACAGTTATCATTCTTCTGTAATATAAGGGAAATCTTGCCTGAGGTAAAAAAGAACCTGAAGTTTGAGTTAGAATTAGTTCCATCAAAGGCCTCTGTTTATGTGTGTTATCAGCTTTTGGAACATCTGTACATGGATCATAGGACTGCTTTAAACATAGCCTCCCCTCACAGCTGTCATTACAAACCAAAACAGTTCAGACATACCAGAGCAGGTCCTTCCATCACCGGCCAGCACAAAGCCAGCGGTGCAGTCACAGCGGAAGCTTCCAGGCTGGTTGCTGCAGACGGCGTTTGGTCCACAGACCGGAGGGGTCTCCTTACACTCATCCAGATCTGCCCATAAAACAACAGAAGATTGTTCGACATGTCCAATTCTAACCTGAAAACTACACTGGGTGTTTCTGAGAACAATAAAAAGGCTTGTGCATTGCAGTTGTAGAAAACTTGAGACACTGAGCAGATCAAATTAACTGAAAACTTAAACATTTTTAGAAAGAGAAACAGTAAGAAAGATATCTGGGTTTAACTGTTGGTCTGGTTACCACCACAACCTAAATGGAGGGAAATGGATGAATGAATGGATGATCTTTATTGGCATGTAAAATGGAACTAACCTATTTTAAAAACCGTATATTAACCATCATAAATGAAAACTAAATCAACTGACACAGGACTGAATGGGCACCTTAGTGTAACACACACCGATGAAGGACCAAAACTGTCACAGTTGTGGAGTCTGAGCAAAAGCTGCAGCACTTGATGCTCCAACTCATTCAGATTTTTTCATTTAAACATGTTAAAATATTTTAAACAAGTTTGAAAAGTCACTTTTTAAAAGTACAATCATTTTCATAAAGTACACGCCAACCTTTCTTTAAAAAGTAATGACATAAAGTCTTCATTTACAGAACCCAGAGGACTCTTAACCCTTTTAAGCCTGATCCAAAAAAAATAGGAGGAACATTGGACTTTTTTAGTGTGAAGTCTTTCTTTGGCCCCTCAAGAACATATGAATAAAAAAAAACTAGATCAAAAACTGATTAAAAACTGATCAAATTAGCGTACAATAAGTCAGAAATATATTTTGGTGTAGTCTTCTACTGGCCGTTATCAGGTATATCTGAATGTTTACAACAGGGGTTTGAGCAAAGCTTTTACCACTAAATGATGCAAAAAGTCTCAGATCCAAAAGACTTCAGAAACATTATGTATCAAATATGATACATTTGGAATTATAGGGTTAAGCTTATGAAAGTTAGCAACGTTACATGGAGGCTGTCCTACCATAACAGTAGTGTCCATCTCCAGTGAAACCAGTGGTACACACACAGCTGAACTGGAGGCCATCGCCAGGCCGGCACGCAGCGTTGATGTCACAGCCGTGTCGACCGGTGAAACATGGATTTTGCTCTGGAAGATTGTCTGTCAGAAGAAAAAGAAGGTAAAAAGAAACAGAACCATATTATCTTGCAGACGTTTTTGTATGCAAAATTTTATCAGAAAGTGACAGGTTGGGCTTTAAAAACTCTTCGTGTACATAAAAAAGTATTGATGAATCCATCGTCAATAACTTGGAATTAATCAAACTTGAAGTTTGAATAATATATGTTGTACTGTACTACAATTACTTTTTACCATTATTCAACACATGTTCTATTTTTCTGTAAAAGCAAGCAAAGTAAAGTCAAAATCCCTGTATGTGGAAACATACTTGGCCAATAAAGCTGATGTGGATTCTGATATGACAATACACAAACCTGAGATGTGTTTTTCATAAACAGTGAGCTTCAGACCGTCGTATTAATGTCCGACGTCTTTATGTAAACTCCTCTCTTTCAAACCATTTAGCAGCACGGTCATCTTTTTTAAACATATGCTCAATTTGAGTTGATCCCAACTACATGTTTAGACAAAAGTTAGCCCAAAGACAGCATGCAATGTCTGGTGGGGATAACTACTTTTGCACAACACCAGTCTCAAACCTGGATAACCGCAAGGGTTAACAACAACAACAACAACAACAACAACAACAACAACAACCACGTTCACCATGGCTCGGTTGCAATGCATTTGATGCCAAATAGGTCAAATAATCGGAAGCCAAATAGGTGGGTAAGGCTAAAAATATTCGGCTAATAAATGGTTGTAAATAAAAAAGGCCATTTTTATTAGTGAAAAGCATGTGAGAAGCAGCGTCAGAAGCTCTGATCTAGTTGGTGAAGCTAGCTGTTTACTATTAAAAAACACAGATAATGATCATCAGGTTTGATCACGAGCCATTTTCTCACCACTTGCAGAACTAAAAAAAAAAGCTATGTAAAAAAAACACTAAATCCCTTTGCTTCCACTATGCAGCTGAACATTGAGGCTCCATATTTGAAATTTCTTTCTCACAGGAAATCTGATCCAGATGTTCCACTTTCTGCCAGTAAACCCCAGCTGAGAGGGCTAACGTTTGCTTATGTAACAGAAAGACCCTCTAAAGCTCCATCAATAAGCAGCACCTGCACTTTTACATTTTAACCCGTCTTTTTATTTGAAACGTTGTGGTTGGTATCTCATTGACCACAGCAGCCGACCCTGACCCTTACCAGTGCCCTCGCAATCTCTCAGATAGCAGCTGAGGAAATACAGGCAGGCTCAGATTACTGTTTATCTTCCTCTGATGTCCCACTGCAAACACCGGGGGGGCTCTTAACTGCTGGAGGTGCGTTTCAGAGCATTCCTCTGGGTAATAACAGCACTCAAGTCTGACAGTCCCCTAACAAATGTCACAGAGGCAGGGATCTGAACAAAGTGACATCTCCCATCTGGAGTCTGTCCACATAAACAGCCTCCAGTGGATCCGTGACTAAACCTGTTATCACCTGTTATGTCAAATTAGAAAAGTTCCCCTTGTGCTGTGTTGCCCTATAATGTTTTTACGTTGCAAATATGCCCTTTAATAATCCAAAAATACTCAGTTCTAGAAAAAACTGTTCAACTGAGCCCAATCTATTACATTCTAGGAAAACCTTACCAAAATATACGGTCAGAATCTGGTTTGATGACTTTAACAGTGTGTAGTTTCATCCAAAAAACCCAAAGTCAATTACTTTGACACGGAAAAGGTGCATAATTTTCTCCTACTTTAGTAGAGAGATGTCAATAAATTTTAAAGTTATACTTTAGGCTAGAAATAAAAAAAAAGATTAGTATGTTGAGGTCGATTCTATGTCTCTGTTTTCTTTTAACTTTGAAGGTAAACATTGAATTTTATGACTGGTTGGAAGTTATACCAAACTATAGGATATACTATATAAGATATCTTTAAGGTCCAAAATCTAGAAAAACTGTATGAAATGGTGAAGCCCAAGTTCCCAATGCTGGTCTGGTGTCTGAGGGGCTGTTAGAACTCACCGTTCACCGAGCCTATCTTGTTGCTCATGGCGTAGCGGATCAGGTGGTTTTGAGGGTCAAACATGACGAAAATCTGGTCGACGCTGAGCTGCTGGGTGGACTGCGTCGCGCCCGGCGCCTCGCCGTGCGGACAGCTCTTGAAGGTGATGGTCTGACGCCACTGGTAACTTCTGGTCTGGATGCTGCCATCGGGGGCATTGATGGTGTACTCGCGACTGGAGGAGGAAGTGATCACTGGGAAAAGAAAAAGCTTTAGAGCATCCAGGTGGAAGTGTTTGGCCCAAAAGCAGCTCAATTTTATTTGTAATTAAAAGCAAAGGAAAGACATAAAAAAATCACACAGAAACTTATAGCATTGCTTGCAAACTGTACAGAATATATATACAAAAACAAGCTAATTCTAACTAGTTGAATGATGCTAACAGGCTTTGATCCAGATACAGTTCACATTGCGCATTGAAAATGTGTAGTTACTCTTACAGTTTCTGTCGTACTGATAGATCTCCTTGTATGGGTTGATCTGGACGGAGTACCCCGGTTGGATGGCTGGCAGACGTCCCTCCAGTTCTGTGCTCACCAGGAGGTGGTCGTGCTCGTCGATCCCTTTAAACTGCTGCTTGATGATAACTCGTTCATTACCAGGTTGAAAGATCACTTCAGCCTGCCGGTGAAACACTCCACCTGAATTTACAGGGCAGAAAACAGAAAGTTCTTAAGATTTGAGTCCGGTTTAACAACTGCAATTACAGCAAGTCTACAACCCTAAAACTGTGTATGCACTGTCAAAAGTCTGCACTTTTTCTTTTCATTTTTTAATCATATGCGAATTCATACTTCTCTTCCAGTTTTAAATGTTCTTATACTACGCAAACATGACAAACTTGATTTCAACTACAGATTTTAGACATGGTGGATTGGTTAGAACCAAGCAGCAGTGGTTGGACGACCTCGTTTTACTAAATGGTACCATAAAGATCAACAAGTTTATGTGACATTTGAGCAAAATAACAACTTAAATGTGTATTCATCGTATTAAATATTACAAGCTAGGGTTGAATTGCTGCTGTGTGTGGTTGCTGGAATGAAACAGAAAACACCAGCACACAGAAGAAGCCAGCAACCACCATGGAAATGTCAAAGGCATCTCCATGGTGGTACAGTCAACATTTTACACAGTATCAACAGCTCATCATCTCACCTATGAGACTGAAGCCATTCTGGTATCCGGGCTGCTGCAGTGCAAAGGCCCATCCAATTATTCCACCGAGGGAGGACAGAGGCTGCAGGGAGGGGCCCAAGCTGTCGGGGATGCTGCTGATGGCCACGTAGGCCCGTCCATCATTCGCTACCACGTAGGAGTGCAAGTCTTTGTTATCAAGCAGGACTGGTGACGAGGAGTTCCCCACAAAGACGCGGCCGTTTACCTTTCCGTTCATTCTCTGGGGTTTGCCTGGGTAACAACAAAGATGGATTGATTGTGAATGCGGTCATTCCTCGTTTTAACAGCAGTCTGCGAAATCCTGACTCAAGCTACCTCTCCATCACAGCTACAAACTTCCATCCATTATCGCTACAGCTTATTCCATAATGGGGTCGCGGGGAGAACTGGAGCCTATCCCAGTGGTCAATGGGCGAGAGGCAGGGTACATCCTGGACAGTCCGACAGTCCATCGCAGGGTCACACAGAGACACACAAGGACAAACAACCATGCACACTCACATTCACTCCTAAGGGCAATTTGGAATGTCCATTTAACCTAACACGCAGGTTTTGGACGGTGGGAGGAAGCCAGAGAACCCGGAGAGAACCCACACAGGGAGAACATGCAAACTCCACACAGACAGAAAGGTACTTGAACCCAGAACCTTCTTGCTTTGAGGCGACGGTGCTAACTACCACACCACCGTGCCACCCCAGCTACTATCATCTTCACTCAATGAGATTGATGCTAAAAACGATTCTTCCAAATTCCTTACCTTCAGCTACACAGTCAAACCCATTCCCATAGAAGCCGGGCCTGCAGTGGCAGCAGTACCCGTTGCTGTAGTCCCGGCAGTCGGCCATGGCAGAACATTTGTCCCTGTTGTGTGCACATGTCCCCAAATTGTAGGCGAATACTGGAAGTAAAGAATGGTAGTAAAAATACTTCAGTTTCAGCTTTGACGGACAGACAAAAGAAAAAGCCATCGAACTGTTCCTGGTTGTTATTTACCGTCCACATTCAGATCCTCGTCTTCATCCACCACAACAACCTGCGGGGGCTGGAGACGGGCGCGGGGCGGCACAGGTCGCACGCGCTCAGGGTCGAGATACCGTGGTGGCTCCACGGGGGCCTGTTCTGAGTGGGTGGGTTCAGTGGAGCCTGTGGGGATTCGGTATCTCGATTCGGACTCATATGGGTACTGTTGCTGGACGCTCTCAGTGGCCGTTGGACTCTCTGATTCTGGCCTATACCGGTCAAACTGGTCAGGTGTTTCGTGGAACGGTGAGATCTCAGCCTCGGTAGGAAACAGGTCTTTGTCCTCTGGTATTGCGTCAGTGGTCTCAGTGTGGGGCACATAGGTTGGGAAGTCCAGATTTCGTCGCTCATCTGTTTGCGTCGGCCACATGGTCGCGGTGGAATCAGTGTCGTCCTCTGGGGAACTAACGGCCGTCCCTGGTGTGATGGCAACAAATGTTGAGGAGGGCCCAATCTTGTACACCCAAACTCCATGTCTTGCTGAGTTTGTCTTTCTGGTTGTTTACAGGACGACAAAAAAATTGTGTTATTGAACTACTAACTTATGTATCTTTGCACTGTATCAAATAAACTTCTGCATTCATTCTGTACAATGTAAAAAAGTTTTTTACAACAATAAAACACGTCTTTCCAAGTGATCTGACGCATTTTCATGCGATACAATCTCCTCTCATGTCTATTTATCCGTAGTATTGTAAGACTTTGAAAACAGTGACTAAAGACACGTTAATTATATTCAACACTGAGCATCTAATAAATTCAGTTTCAGTAAAAAACAAGCACATATTCACTAGTAACCAGAGTTCCATACACAGTCAGTTCCCTGATGGAGCTCTCTTCATCAGTAGTCGTGCGGAAATATGTCCCCTGTCTCGTGTTCCAGAACCAGCCGGATATGATGCCTTCATTGAAGCCGGCCTCTAACAGTGTATCTTCTCCCCCAACCAACGTGGAGAAGAACTTCAGGCCGCTGTGGGGGTACAACAGGATGGCGAAGGATTCGGACTCCGCCAAGGCTACAACCAGCTGGAAAGTGTTTCTCTAAAAGCACAAACGAGATATTTTAAGCTCTAGAGTAAGCTCTACCCAACAGTTTTGGTATATAAAAATGTGAGAGCTATGGGCCAGGGTCTCTGATGGCCTGGCAGGAAAGCGCTCACATGCTCTCTGACTTAGTTTCGAGATAATCCGACACATTGAGGCCGATAGCCGCCCACCCCGAGCCACGGTTCTGTTCGAGGTTCTTGCCCCCTAAAGGAAGTTTTTCCTCACCTGTGTCGCCTAGTGCTTGCTCTTGGTGGGAATTGTTGGGCTTCTGTAAATAACTTCAGATTACCTGTTTTTTTTTGGAAAGCGCTGTGAGATAACTGTTGTTGTGATTTGGCGCTATATAAATAATATAGAATTTAATTTAATTAAATAGCCCACCATGCGAATCATCTGGAAAATTATTGTATGGCAGGTCAAGTGTCAACCAGGAAAGCCACCGTACAACTCAGAGATGGATCATTTAGAGCTTTTTTTGCAAGCTTCCCAAATTTCTATACTCAACTTGACAACGTGAATGCGTAGAACTGTTCATTTCCATTGCTCAGAGGAAGATTTGTGCTAATGATAGCGGAGTCGCAATGTGCAGACTATTTCATACTACTTTAAATGAGGCACCTGCAAGGTACAGGACTTATCCAATCATAGGCCTTGAGACTTTATGCCCAGTTCATATGACGATGTGTCCTTAGAACCGATCATTGCCGTGATATTCCAGCAGGACGGGACTCTGATGCCATCACCAGTTCTTTTTGCTTTGATTTATTGGGGACACATAATCTATGTAGGCAACCTAAATCTGGTTTAACTGAACCCTGGTACTAGCCATCCAATAGGCTTTTAACTAAGTTGAACTAAAAACAAAAACAGCAGACTGTAATAGAATGTAAAGACCATGTCTCACCTGAGCATCCAGTCCGTCCCCTCGACCGGATGTCCCTCGGGCGGCCATTTTCTCCCAGGTGACAATGAGGGTCTGTTTGATATCCACTTCTTTGTCGTTGGGGAAGGCCAGTCTGCAGTGTTCGGCAGCTCGGCTGAGAGCTCCCACGCTGTTGTCCTGCCTGAAGTAAACTTGCCCCTTCCCATCGCTGTTGTCCAGGTCTCCCAGCAGAGCTGCCATCATTTTGAAACCGCCAGGCAGCTTTCCCAGGTACTCCTCCTCAGGTGGAGGGCTCTCTACAGCCACGAACCCATTGGTGTTGATCTGGACAGAAGAGGAATCGGGTGGATTTGTCATCGCAATATCTCTGCCAACATGTTTTGGGACATTTTTGTCCCTGCCGTTCGCCCGATGACAAGCTGGAACAGGCTCCAGTTACTTGTCCTATCCAAGTCAATACTGGACAAGAGGCAGGGTACACCCTGGACAGGTCACCAGTCCACCACAGCACAGCTTAGGAATAAGAGTCCAACCATCCTCATATTGATTCTGTGCCTTGTACGTTACCTGAGCACAACCAGAGGACTCAACAGATCTGCAGACTCTGGTCCAAAGTTTTTCAGTTTCATTGAAATGTTTTTTTTATTTTTTACACACAGTTCATGGAATAACTACACACTATCAGCAGGTTGCGTTTTTTTGTCTAACAGTGAGAGGTTTAGTTTTGCAACAGGTGACAAAGTCCACATCTGGAGATCACCCAGGTGGGTGGACAACACTTCCATGTAAGTGTACTGCCTTTGTTTAATGCTTTTTCTAGTCCCGATGGCCACCAGGCGTTGTTTGGCCCACTAAAAGCCACGTTCCCGGATACACAGCGTTCCTTAGTCCATAAACAGTGTTACAGGCACACCGTGAGCTTGCTATAACATACACAAGACGAGACTAAATAAAACAGTCAGTGGTATATTTACAGGTTTGTATGTAACCCAAAGCATTCTGGCATGTTTGCGCACGTCTTGATGGCTCTGAGTCAAACTGTGTGTTGTCTGGGGGGAGTCTGGTCCTTAATGTCCTCGCCTGCTTATCCAGTGAACATAAACTGTGTTCAAATCTGGGAGCTTGGTATCAACAGTTTTTTTTATGAATAACTAATCCACATGGGACTAAAACACTGAGCAGCAGCTGAGGATGCTCCGCTGTGCTCCTGGGAAAGTTCACAGGAGGCTTTGCAGAGAGAAAAAAGGAAAAGCCTGTTTCTTATTTTCTCAAATAGAAAGTCTCCATTGTGTGTTTTTCACCAGGTTGGAGGTGTTAAATGTTAGACATGGCCTCTCCCCACTTCCTCTCCATTTGTGTGTGTGTGGGGGGGGGGGGGGGGTTCCCTGTCCTCCTGAGGTCCACAAAGATCTCCTTTGTCAGGGTTGTGTTATGGTTATGTTGTAGTGAAAACTGATGGCCTCTGATAGCCTCCTGTTTCCAGACATTTGAAAGTGGATTTCAAATCCTATCTTTGGATGTAATATTAATAATAAATAAAGAATACACAGCATACCTCAATATCTATTTCTGACCTCTGTAACTGATCATTTTTAAATATAAACTGATGTCCAAAACAGAAATATCATGTTCTGCCAAAAACAGATTAGTTTTTCTTATGAAATTGTTCTTATTGCAAAACCTTAATACCGTACATCTTTTCCGGGCAAACTTGAACATCCGCATTCGGATCGAATCGGCATAATTGTTCTAAGCCTGGAGCGTAGGAGTGAATGTTGTCTCCCTCTGCGTGGGACTGTTATGGCCCGGTGACAGCTGATCCAGGCTCCAGCCACCACAAAACCATGTCTTTGGAATCCCCAACCATAGAAAATGGGTGGATGGGTGGGTAAATACCACTGAAGGGAACGGAGCTATCAGCTGGGTACGTTCAACTGAGGCCGGTTTTTAGTGCCCTGGACGACACCCCGGTCCAGATTCTTTGATTGTGGATGACATCGTGCACCATTAATGGTGGACTATTCACAATCCGTCATCTTCGGGTTCCGACTCCAGAGAAGAAGAAAAACCTGGGAATCTTTGTTTTCTTTGCTTTGGTTTGGTTCATCTACCAAAACAGTTTGGTTTAGGTAAATAGAGTGTCACGGTCCAGCCCAAAATAGCTCCTTTCAAACTTCTGCACATTCCAGAGAAAGTGTCAGAATGGAGAGGGCTGGGTTTTGTTTGGTTGGGAAAAAAACACGATTACATAGATACGTGACCCCGGAGTGGTTGTGGTTCAGGTGTAAGCGCTGTTTCCTGCTAACGGGCGGGTTGATGGTTCGATCCCAGGCTACATGTCCAGGTGGGACCCCCCTCCCCCCTGCATATTGTGAGTAAAGACTGGCACAAAAAAGCCAAAAGGCGACCATAACACGAATATATGACGCATCTGTAGTCTTAATGCCAACGTTTGTTACGAGGGACAGCACACACTGCTGATCAGAGGGAAGTTTTAGTTAGGCTCAGTCCAAACTGAGGCGATCTGGAAGGTCATCGAAACAAATTACGCAAGCTGTGCACTCAATGGCAACACCAGGATTCTAAGAAAAAGACTAAATCGATTTAATCCCACCCGCTGTGCATGAAGCCAGCCTCCCAGATTCGCTACCCAGCAGAGAGGCAGGTAGGTCATAAATCAAGCAACCCCCAGAAAAATGTTTAAGACAAGAAAGGACAAAGTTTCTAATCTGGGGATGATGCTGGAAGAAATGAAAGAACAGGAAATCCGAGACAAAGAGGGAAGTGGCCCTGCTCGAGTGCCTCTGTAAGGCTGAGATGTGCCTGGAGGGGGGATCTTTTGACCCCTTAAGCCCTCCAGACCTCAATCCAAACACCTCCCGCAGACTTCCTCGAGTCAAAGAGTGAATGAACGCATGAATGAGGGGAGCATGCGGATGAAAGGCAGGACTCTCCTGGGCAGCGTCTGACAACCGAAGAGGGCCCGCTGAGCTGAAAGCCCGATAGTTATCAGCCAGCACACATCAGATCTTTTGTCTGCCGCAGAAATAGCCGGCAGCATAACTTATCTTCAAACGTGTACTCAGCCCTCAGGCCGAGACAAAGGACAGAGCATAATGACACGCTCTCCCAGGAGCTTTGACTCCACGTAAAAATGAGAATCTGTCTCCAACTGCAGTGATTTGAACCAGCGGGGTTCAGAGACTCCAACTCATTAAGAAAGAAAAACAAGGTGAAATACCCAAAAGACCCTAAAGGTCTGAAGGTAGATTTCTTAAACAAAACAGTTCTAATTAGAATAAAAATGTAATCTGGCTGACGATGGACAGAGAGAGGAAGACAGAGTTTAGGCTTGTTGTTGTCTGCTTGCTGGACGGTACTATGTGAAACTTTTGCTGCATATTTGGGACACCACCAGCTGTTAGTGTCCCAGCTCAACTTGTAATAACGCTCGTGGTGCTTGTGGACCCGCAGAAGAGGGACAACGACGTGCAGTTTTTCAAGGAAACCTGCCAACGATTCGCTGACATCACTCGTGTCCGACCACTGAGATCATCATTATCAGTCGCGGGAGGGGAGGAAGCTCCTGGAGGTCTGCCATCTGGTTCGGGAAGACAGATGTCTAGTGTCTACTCATTCCAGATGTGCCAAGTCAAGGCGGCTTCCTGTCAGGAAGAAGACAACAACTGGAAACCTCCCACGGCATCGAGCTGCGAGCGGAGCCGTGAGTCTGACGGCAGAAAGAAATACTACAATCAAATCTGACGTTAGCTTAACGGTAACACAAAGCTTAAAGAGTGTCGCCTGATATTTAAAAGGGAAGAACCGAACAACAGCATGATATTTGTATTGAGGTTTATTCAATCACTTTGAAAGAGCGCCGGCTAAATTGTGGATTCACATCCACCTCTCGCCGTTTTCTTCATGCTGTTCAAATGAGCAATGACAAGACCGGTGTTACTTAAAATATTTGAGCATGGCAAAAAGTCCAGAAGAGGCATAACGAGTTATATAATGTATATAATAATTTGTTCGTTGAAATTAAAAGGATTCATATTTTCTGTAATACTCTTTTCATTCAAATCATATTTGTCCAAACAGCGTGTGTCCTGATGTGACCGTTCTGACCAGCGACTAATGACAGAGCAGAATACTGTGTTTTTATTGGCTGCTCTGTGTAGAATACATAACCAGTAGGCAGGGGAAATTCTAAAAGCTACTGGACATTGGAGTCTTTTGGCCAACGTACTTTGCCTGGTCAGAAAAGTTCAGAACACCTCTCTGCATTTTGTACGACGTTTCAATATGTTTGTATAACAGATACAAAAGATGAATTTGGATTTTTTTTTTTCCATTTTCGACATCAGAGTTTTGTGCAAAAGCTTTAAGGTCCGAGGTTTGTGTGGCCCCCGCCATCGACCTTAACCTGGTACAAGGAACCCATAAACTGCCAGAACAGCAGCTAACTTCTGCCAACTCCTTCAAAAAGTTTTCAGGAACACAGTTCTCAACGTAAACCTTCAAAAGCCTCCCCCAAGTTGGATGTCAGTTTTTTATTCGGAACTTTGGAATGACTGCTCTTCAATCCTCATTCAAGCTTTCTTTCAAAGGGTCCGTTGTCTTTACGTTTCAGATCCATAATGCGACTTTCCCTGTCTTAATTTACTTAATTGAACATATCCACTTGTGTTTTTTTATTCAGCTTTGGTTCCTCATCCTTTGCGCTCTTCTGATGTGACCATAGCGTCTTCCCCGCCGGCAGCTAGCATTGAGCGAATCCCCTCCCTTAAATCATCCATGTTATTCCCCTTTGCATACATTTTTAGAGGAGGTCCAGAGGCCATGTGTGCAGCAAAACTGTGCACTGGGACATTTTTAGGCTGCTTAAACCACAGAGCTCGAGTTGAACAAGTCCGCGTCATAATGGGGCTTCTCTGAAATAAATCTTTTTCGGGGTGTAGACGCCGAGCTCAGCGGGACACATCTGCTTAACGCCTGTCCCCGCACAAGTATCTGCAGATGCTGAAACCGTAGAAATGTACACATTTGTGAATATGAATATGAATAATATTATTAGTGAGCTCTGTAAATTCTTGCTAATTAATTGACATTTATTTATTCCTCTCACACTATCATTATCACTTATTTTAGATCTGTTGTATATATATATAGACATGAATATCTATATGTTGTTGTATATCTGAAGTTGGTAACAAAAATAATTTCCCTCTGGGATTATTAAAGTATTTCTGACTCTGATTCTGATTCTGATATGCTTCTATGCAGATGAACATTTAACATACAAGTAGAATTTTCCTCTATAGACTCAAACCTCATTTGACTTTCTGTGATTTCTATTTCCAAGAGAAAATTTGGACCAATTGTTGGACGGTGCAACTTCTCACAGATTGATCTATCGACTCCATTCTGGAACGTTCTGTCCTCACGTTTCCTTCCCCGGTCACAGGAAGGTTTATCGTGTCATAGCGTTTGATTAGGCATGGATATTCCACTTTTGTTTGTTTTTTTGGCAGTCATTTAGCCAGCTGGAGGACACGAGTGTTCTGAGGGATGAACTTGTTCTGACGGGATGTCTTAGAATGTTGCAAGCTGATCACTGCGACCAATTTAAATGACTCCCGATCTCAATTTCCAACCGTTTCACATCATCCAGCCCAGATTTCTGCCATGGTGCCCAAAATAAACAAGGGGGGGGGGTTATTCCAGCTGTCATTGGGCGAGAGCCAGGGTTCACCCTGGTCAAGACACCAGTCTATCGCAGAGCCACACAGAGACAAACAACCACACACACTCACATTTACTACCAGAGTCTCCTGTCAGCCTAACATGGTGTTTTGGACTTTTCAACCAATCAACCAATATTCAACCCATCACAAAAGTATGACCGATAACTAGAGGAGTATCCGATCTTCCCAATAAAAGCACACCCCGACCACACGACTGGTCAAAGGGAAACGAGCCTGGCCCCAGGTGTCTGAAATGAAGGGAAACATAGAGACGGCGGGGGGTGGGACCCTCACAGCGTCCTGTCAACTTCCTCCAGAGACGGGAGGACATCTGTGTGCCCCGAAGACTCTGGTTTTAACAGGGGAATGACAACAAATGGAGATCAATGGCTGCAACAGGAAAGAAAAAAAGAGAGCACTCATCACGCAGGCAGTGGGGTGTCGGGCAAACTCAACAGAACTGTGCAAGTTGTGGGCCAAAAAGCTAACCCTGGGCATGGATTTCTGTGGTATTTCTCTCTCTATGACACACACACACAGACACACAAATATATATATTCTACTCCATTTCCATGGTAGAAAACACTATATGAACAGGTCTTAGCAAATATTACTAACAATTTTAATGACAACTTGAAGAAAATCTCTGACTTTGCACAGGTCTTAAGGTCCAGTAACTTTTATATTAATATGCAGTCAGAAGGTGGCAGTCAGAGGCACGAATAATCAGACCAAAATCATCTAGAGGTCCTATAAAAATCCCAATAGTCGAAAGGCATTGGCTCTACTTTTCAACATGTGTTTGTTCCAGATCTCAGTATGAGATCTCTGGCCCAGAGATTAATTTAGCCAAACCGACGTGTTCCTTCTGAGTATCAAACCAGATCTAAACACCCCAACCTGGATTAGCCATCACATGACGCGAGGAATGCACCCACTGTGAGTGGAGGTGTGTTTGCCCCCATGAGGGGATTATCTGTGTTGACTCTTAATTGACTCGCATTCCAGCCTCTGTTCACATGTTTACAGAGAAACCCTACCTGTCCATTCACACTTCGCCCCCCCCCCACAGACACAGAACCATCCACCCCTACTCATCACAGCCCCGATCAGCCATTGGGGACACCATCCGGGTGGAGGCTGAAGCTGCCAGAGCTTCTGTTTGAGCTGATTCAGACGTGATTAAAGTCAAAAGATAATCGGACGTCAATACACAGAGAGAGTTGCCAAAGTTCTCCAAAAGCTGAGGGGTGGGAGCAAGCATCTGAATAGTAAGAAAAAAGGGGAGGATCACCTCCAGAGAAGAGAAGATGCTGATTTAATCAGCCTGAGAATGACCAGAGGGGCCAACGGATGAACAATGGATGTGATCACCCCAAGGCATTTAATGACAGGGTGCTCACAGATTGGGCTGAAAAATGTAGTCATTTTCACTATTTTATTCAATATATGATGTAAAAAGTCTAGATATGGATTCAGATTGTTGTCTGATATAACCCAGCCATAAAAACTCTGCAGAAAGCTTTAAAACTGAGCGTCCAAATATAATTTGAAGTTCAGTAACTTTGTTAGATTTTGGTGTTCTGCAGGTCCGCAGGTTATTTTTAAGCTTTTTATGTTTAACTTACATAAACTTGGTCGAAAGTCTCCTTGAAGAACATCAGGGACCGGTTGAGGGGCAGCGCGGCGGAGGAGTCGGACCCGGGCGGCAGCTGTCCGTCTCCAGCCTCTTCTCCAAACTCGAACAGGTCACTCAGCTCCAGCGCCCGGCCCAGGGCCGCCAGGCTGAGCAGGCACGGCCAGAACCAGGAGCGGCACCGGATCCAGGGACCCATGTCGGAACGCGGATGGATGACCCCCGTGACGCAGCGGTTGCGCGGCGGACTGATGGACTGATGGACTGATGGAGAGGGAGGGCTGCGCGCAGCGATGAATGAACGGGTGGAGTAAAAAAAAAAAGGAAAACACAGCCCGGGTTGGCCCCCAAACTGACCGCCGGTGTTCTCTTTCAAAATAAAAGCACACCCATTCAGGAGCAGGGTTCGAGTATCGACTTCCAGCTTCACACGGGAGTCACAGGCGTGAAAAAAGGGTGAAAATCAACTCGCATTTATTCAATTTCAATTCAATTTTATTTATATAGCGCCACATCACAACAACAGTTGTCTCACAGCGCTTTCCAAACAGAGCAGGTCAGACCCCACTCTGAAGTTAACTACAGAAACCCAACAATGCCCACCATGAGCAAGCACTAGGCGACACAGGCAAGGAAAAACTTCCTTTTAACAGGCAGAAACATTTATCTGAAAGCTTGTTAGATTTATGGGTGCAGCAACATCATTTTCTCATCCTTTTCCTGTTCTCGGTTTCCTTTAAGTTGTGTAGTTTTGCTTTGTGTTCTGTAGTTTTGATGCTTTTGTTCCCTTTCTTAATCTGTTTTGCTCCATTTTTGGTTCATTCCCACTTTTCGCCTGTGTCTTATGGATCTCATTATTTTCTATGTTGCCCTTAATCTTGTTTCATGTTTCAGAAGTTTTTTTTTATTTTTTAGATCTTGTTTGTTTTTCGATTCTGTTAATCCATTTATGATATTTTTGTTGTTTTTTTTTCTGGTTCGGCCACACTAATTCTTATTGGATAAACCCTCACTGGAATCATCACCTGCGTCGGCCTTTGGTTGGCCTGATTTTTTTGGGATCCAGCTCGGCTATTCCTGATGATTCTGCAGCTGTTGGATGCTCAGGATGGGCCAGAGTTGGTTTTTTCCTTCCCGCTGGGCCTACGTTCCTGGAACATCTGCGACGCCACGCTGCAGTTGTTTATTTCTTTAGCTCCATTTTTGCTGTCTGTTGAGGCAGAATCCCGAGGGGCGGACCGAGTCCAGCTCGTTCCACAGAGGTGGGCCCTGAAATTTCACAAAAAGAGCTAAAATAATATCTGCTTTTTCCCTCTCATCACCACCTTCCACCACCACCTCTTCCCACTACAAGCAGACATAAACAGAAAACCTAAAGTCTGGACCTGTAGCTCCTACATGTGATCATTAGGTTATTCGTTTGCGTTCTCTGCTGAACTTCCACCTTCCAAAACAATAAACCCTTCGGAATAACTAAAAGTCAATTAGTTCCTGATTGATTCGTTTACATGTAAACGGGTTTCTGATGAGTCTTGCTTAGTTTAGTTTTTGTCTTTCCAACAGGAGGCCGTCGCCACCATCTTCTGGCTACAGACTGGAAACACATTCTGTGTTTCTCACCTCTTTTGAGTCCTCATCTGTTCACTACTATGAGCTGCATACATCAGCTTTAACCTTAATTCATAATCATAACAGTAAACCGCATCAGGATTTTGAATAAGTAGAAAAACACCAGCCTCAAAATCATCGGAAGTTCCTAGAAACCACATTTCTAATGAAGCTGGGACGTGGATTTGACATTCCTAACGATGAAATATTTAGTTTTCAATCTGATAATCCTGTTTGATTTTTTTTTTTTGTCTGGAACACGTCATGGAAGGATCTGGAAGACGTTGTGTTTTTTTATCCACCTGGATAGTAGCTCCACTTTGGAATTTCTTCCAAATTTTCTCAGTCAATTTGAACCATCCTTCATCTATCAATCCAACCAATTGATTTGTCTGCTGATCTATTTACATCTCTGCACTTTTCTTATGTCTTATTTTTTAAATCCAAAGTGTTCTGATTTGCGCAGATTTATAATTCCTTTTTTTTTTTTTTAGGATATTTCTCAGTGTGATGTGAAAAAGCTGAACGTGTCCCTGTGGAATAAACCATTGTCAGGGAAAGCGTGTGCATTTTCTGTGACACAGAAGGTGTGCGCGTCATGTGTGGATGGTGGAGCTACACACCCCAGACCGCCCCTCCCTCTTTCCCTCCCTCCCTCCCTCCCTCCCTCCCTCCCTATTTCTAGATCCATCTCTCCGCTTCCCTCTCCTCTTCTCGGCATCTCTCCTCGTGAGAGGCCAATTGCTCTCTGGAAGAGCCGCGTCACATGACCGGCTGCCAACCAATAAGCTCCTCACCAGGCACCGGCAAAAAGAGGGGAGTCTTCTCTCCTCCTCATCCTCATCCTCATCCTCCTCCGTTTTCTCTGTCATCTAGACAACGTGTCTCTTCGGGAGAGGCGATCCATCAAAAGAATAATGCTCCCGTCTTTTTTAACCTGAAGGGGGGGATTTTTTTTTAAATCGTCATCTCCATCCTGGAGGGAATGAATGGGGAGGTGATGGAGGGCAACGCTGCGCCGGAGGAGCAGCAGCAGCAGCGTGCCGGCAACGGCTCCCACCTTCCTCCCCCTCCCACCATCTCCCCGGCCATCCCGCCCTACGTGAAGCTGGGCCTGACGGTGGTCTACACCGTCTTCTACTCGCTGCTCTTCGCCTTCGTGTACGCCCAGCTCTGGCTGGTGCTGAGGTACCGCCACAAGCGCTTCAGCTACCAGACGGCCTTCCTCTTCCTGTGTCTGCTGTGGGCTGCCCTGCGCGCCCTCCTCTTCTCCTTCTACTTCAGGGACTGCGTGACCGCCAACACGCTGGGGCCCTTCTCCTTCTGGCTGCTCTACTGCTTCCCCGTCTGCCTCCAGTTCTTCACGCTGAGCCTGATGAACCTCTACTGCGCGCAGGTAAGGAGGAGATGCCTCACGAGAAGCACGGGAAAAAAGACTGGGGGGTGAGACCCGGGGAAAAAGCTCGTGGGCCTGTGCTCGTAAAGGCAGGCTCGTGGGGATTCGCACAAAATCCGAATGGTCGACGTTTTGGTCTTTTGTGATTTAAAGTCACCTGTCGTCACAGACAGTAACAGCAGAAAATGATCTGATGGCCACCTTTGTGAATGTCACACACTATCCAAGGTTTTTTAAATGATTTTTCTTCCTTTTTCAAAAAATATAGTGAAACCGATTTGACCACATTCTTAAAAAAACTGTCATTTGCTAACTTTTTTAACCTTTATTCAACTAACGCAAGCAGACAGAAACTAATTTTCTGTGTTTTCAGTTATTGGAAGAAAATAAATGAGAATCCGATGCAGTAACGCACTCAAAAGTAGTCCCTGTTGGGTTTTATCAGCCTTCTTTAGTGACTTTTTACTGCTTTGGTGAGCCCTGGATTCTGATTTTTGCAGTATTTCAGAGCAATCGATGTCTGTTGCTGCTGAATTTCAGCTTCTCAGCAGATGGCTACAACTGTCGGGTTCTGGTCTAGAGACAGGTGTGCACTTTTGCTCCTTTCTCTGATAACAGCCTGGATATTCTTTCTAATCCTTTTCTAATCCTGGCTGTGTCTACATGACCTCCCCCTGGCGTAATACAGTTTCAAGTCTGGATACGGCTATTTTCAAATAAAGGGACATTTGATATATTATTCTTTTATGCATTCCAACAAGAGCCTTCTTCTAGGTCTAAGTCACTAGTGGGAGTTTTAGGCTAACAAGCCGTTGCTGGGATTTTAAATGAATTGAGGACACTTATTTGTTTGATAAAGATCCTTCCGAGATTTCAGACGCTTCTAGTTCAAAAAGAAAGAGGATGTTTTGCCTCTTTTTGATGTCTGTTAAATCCTTTGCCGGTTTTGGGAGCTAAAAAATTGTTTTAAAGATTAAAAGCTTACGCCATGTTTCGTCAAAAACATAGCGTAAAATTATAAAGTTATACTGATGACGCACATCTTTATATCAGTGTCTACAGATTACGTTCACCATACAGACGACCCTTTAACAGTGTGACAGACAACCAGGACAAAACCACTCCTGAAGCACGAAGAGAAAAAACGTTTTTAAAACTGAGATTGCTGTCTTTGAACCGATCCAAAGAAAAATAAAAAACCTCTGAGTTATTTTTGATTTCCGATCTAAATTTCCAATCTCATATTGAGAACATAAGACAGAGGTTTTTTTTAAATCCAGGAGATATTGTGTCAGTTCGTCTCTCAGGCTGATGCAGAGATTCTGACTCATGCTCTTAGCACCTGCAGAACAGAAGAACGTGGTGCTCTTCTTCTGATTCTAAACATATTTGTGGTGTAAAAAAGCCAAAATGAGAAAAGATCTTCTACTGGGAGAAACATTGCCAACAGCAGAAAAACTGTTCCAACAAGGAAGATGATGGAATTGATTTGTCACTCTCTTTCTTACAGGTTTACTTTAAGGCAAAATCCAAGCACACACCTGCTCTGCTGAAGTACAGGTAATATAATCTGATGTAAACTTTCATTTCCGGTGAGTGGAAGTGGCCCCTTTACAGACGATCCCCCGTCCCTCCCCCAGGCTGCCGCTCTACCTGGTCTTCCTGGGCGTCAGCCTGACCTTCCTGCTGGTCAACCTGGTGTGCGCCCTGCTGGTCAGGATCTCGGCGGCGGACGTCAAGACGGTGGTCCTGGTGAGGGTGGCCATCAACGACAGCCTGTTCGTCCTCTGCGCCGTCTCTCTGTCCGTCTGCCTGTACAAAGTGGCCAAGATGTCGCTGTCCAGCATCTACTTGGAGTCAAAGGTGAATTAAAGATTGATTGTGTGCGGATTCGGGAAAAGCGACGCAATGCTGCGGATAACTGGATAACTAGCCTCTGGTTTCAGTCTGTAGGACGCCTCGGTTGGATATCCAATTCCTACCACATCCAAGTCGGCCATTTTTATTAGGTCATGTGACTAGCAGCTTTCTCAGGTGGAAACAAAACTTTACTGTCTGTACGAAATCAGAAGATAAGATGTCCTAACCCTAACCCTGACCCTAACCCTGACCCTGACCCTGACCCTAACCCTAACCCTGATCCTAACCCTGACCCGGACCCTAACCTTAACCCTAATCCTGACCCTAACCCTGACCCTAACCGTAACCCTAATCCTGACCCTAACCCTGACCCTAACCGTAACCCTAACCCTGATCCTAAGCCTGACCCTAACCCTAACCCTGACCCTAACCCTTAGCCTAACACTGACCCTAACCATAACCCTGACCCTAACCCCAACACTGACCCTAACCCTAACCCTGACCCAAACCTCCGCCCTTCATAATTGTGAGAAATAAATATTTTTGGGTTAAACTTGTTTGGACTAATTGTTCAGACCCATTTAACGTACACTATTTTAAGCTAATATTGTGTATAGAGTTTAATTCAGTGTTTGAAAGATGTCTATATTGCCATGAAGCAATTACAATTTCCTTGCCTGGGAGCTTCCTATTGGTGAGGTAATCAAAATGGCCGACTTGGATGTGGGCGGAGTTGGATATCCGTACTTGGCTTCCTGCAGTCTGCAGCCAGACGTACTCGGATAACTGTGGATAAACGCGAGGAAAACTCTGAACAAGTGTACTGGGTGCAGGGAACGTCGGTGTGCCAGGTGACCCTGATCGGCGTCATGGTGGTGCTGCTCTACGCCTCGCGGGCCTGTTACAATCTGGTGGTGCTGGCACTGACCAACATCGAGACCATCAACTCCTTCGACTACGACTGGTACAACGTCTCAGACCAGGTGACCACACTTAAACCCGCGAAACAAACCTGGTTTTGTTTTAGTGTTGGAAAAAAAATAATCTTGGAGTGGGTTTTCGTTCGCTTTTCGTGCGCCGTCTCCACGGCTCAGTTTAAAGCTTGACCTGGATTTAATCACCTATCTGATGAATGTGGACGTCACACATGATATGAACAGTTCAAAGCTAACATACCTGGAATTATTGTTCAGGTTGTAGGTTAACGAAAGAGGGAAAAAAACTATCAAACTGCTTCAAACCAGGGTTCAAGTCAGGGGTTTTCCAATGAGTGTTTTGCTATTGACCTTTGACCCCTGAGCTGTGCTTTTTCCCAGGCTGACCTGCGCTCCTCGCTGGGAGACGCCGGCTACGTGGTGTTCGGGGTGATCCTGTTCGTCTGGGAGCTGCTGCCCACCTCTCTTGTGGTCTTCTTCTTCAGGGTCCGACGGCCGCCTCAGGACAGGGTCAGTTCCTCCTATCGGAGCGCCGGTTTCTTAAAAAAAATACTAGATAAAACCGTACCGAATCCATCACCGGCTGCTGTTGGGGTTACAATGCCGCTGGACCGTCTCAGGGCTGTGAACCACAATCCTCTGGTCGGTCATCCTCTGGTCGGTCCAACGATGACGGATTTGGTCTTTTTTTTGGTCCTCAGAGCACGGCTGGGATCCCGAACCACGTTCTCTCCTCCAGAGGGTATTTCTTTGACAACCCTCGCCGCTACGACAGCGATGACGACCTGGCGTGGAGCATTCCTCCCCAGAACGCGTCAGCCAGGTAGCAACCCTGTGATTTCGCTGAAAAACAGCCTAATGTCGTCCTAAAGATCCTTAAATCAACTGCTATTACGTTAACAAACTGAACTACAGGACAAATAACTAAGTGATAATGGTACAGGATGTAGCCTCATACAGAACAAAGAGGAATTATTTCCACTTTAGTTTGTGGAGCATCCCAGTGGCGTTGTTACTTTAGTACTCGTGAAATGCAAACAAGACGATCTAACCCTTTAAAGCCAGATCCAAGAAAAATAGTAAGAATATTGGATTTTTTTAGTCTGAAGTCTTTTTTTTGGCCCTTGAACAACATATGAAGAAAATAAAATTAGCGTACAATAATTCAAAAATATATTTAGATATATATTCTACTGGCTGTTATCAGGTATGTCTGAAGGTGTACAACAGGGCTATGAGCAAAGCTTTTACCATTCAATGATGCAAAAAGTCTCAGATCCAAAAGACTTCAGAAACAGTATGTATCAAATATGATACATTTGGCATTATAGGGTTAAGAGTCACAGTTAAGCTCCACAAAATGAGATTTACTCACTCGATCCTTACGAGAGGCGATGCTCGTCCGTCAGACCGTTCTGATATTTCTGATTCTGACGCTCCTCGTCTGTGTTTTCAGCCTCTCCTCCGACTGCTACGACTGGGGCAGCCGCCACAGCAGCTTCACCGTGCACAGCGTCAGCGACGAGCAGCGGCTGACGGCCGGCGCCGGGGAGCTGCACCCTTACCCATGAGGGCCCCCCCCCTGCACAGCCCCACTCTGCACTTTGACACTCAGCATTTATTGTGTGTTGTTTTTTTACATTGGACCATTGTAGAGTGAATAGTTTAGCTTAAAAGAGGTCCTATACATTTTTCGAAAGGACCCAGTTTCCTGGAGTTTTCTGGTTTGGAGAGCACAGTAGCACTTAAGTCCCGAATCAACAGGGTTTCTCAGCGGGAAATTCAACGTCCAGACCCGAAAGTGTCATTTTTGGCTAAAGCAAGAACAAAAATCGTGGTTAATCAGTTCGCGTGAACTAATCTGAAATATAAAGAGCGTCCCCAGTTTTTTTACTTTTGGACCAAAGATCAGAGGGACGTTCGCTGATCCTTTTTACTTAAAACAGATTCTGCCGTGATGTCATCGTGAAATGATCGTGGAATACTGTTAATAATTTTACAAAAAGGGGCACCCGAATCCAAACAATTGGACCCTCAGCAGGCTAAAGCTGGAGAGGAACCCCAATTCAGAGAACATCTATGCTTTCTACTGCACATGTAACAGATGTTTGAATGAAAACTTATTTTAGGGGACTTTCAATCCAGTAATGACAGGATTTAAACTTAATTTATTAGCTACTTTCAAGCATTTCCTTATTCAGCTTAGAGTGAATTGGGGAATGACTTGGTGACTTGGTGTAGATAGCTAAACGGCAAGATTATCCATCCATCCAGACAAAGAGTGAGAGGCCACACACACATTCACTCCATTCAGAGCAATTTAGGGTCCCCATTTGACCCAACGTGCAGGTTTTTGGGCTGTGGCAGGAAGCCAGAGTACCCAGAGAGAACCCTGGCTCGGGTTGAAAACCCTAACTCCACACAGAAATGTCCCAGGAACCAGGAACTAACCACAACACCACCGTTTTATAGTTCCTAGATGATAGTTCCTGTTTTTTTATCTGTGCAGCACATAAAGGAAGTGGAATGTAACTGAACCCAAACCGTTGAGAAGGATGGCAGCCCTCCGTTCACACTCTATTTATCCTCATATTAAGCGGGAAAGAAACCACCGGGGACTCGCATGAAGCACTTTGTAAACCAGCTTAAAGCTGAACTTTTCCATCTGGATCAGAAATGTGTCTAACTTGAAAAGAATAGAACATGATCAACTGAGTGAAAGGCTGGGTACACAGAGATCCACAGACAGATGTAATGTATTTTTGGGGAGACGGTGATGTTTTGCGATGGGAAATCTTTATACGACTGGAAGTGCATCAAGACATGAAAAAAAATGAAGTCAGAACAAGTTGCGAAGTTCGTTTTTGTAAGAAACGTGTCATTTACGGTGCCAAATAGTCCCTAAGGCGATTTCTGTTGGGCCATTTTTTTGTCACCCCACGTGAGAGCACATGTGTCCGTAAGCTGTAAATACATTCACCTCCAGCTATGCTGAAAACCTGGAATTGTAAATACATCCGAAATCACTCGTTCACAGAACAGATCAACTCAAATACGGATTGATCCAACGGCAGAGGTCGTCCCAACGATTCAAAACAAACATGTTTGAACATTTCTGAAAGAAGCTCGGACTCTATATTTCTATAACGGGTTTTGTAAGGTCGGATGTACAGAGGTGTACTTGGTCGATGAGCTTCTCGTGTGTTTTTGTGGCGTGTTGAGCATATGCAACAATAAAACAAAGTTCCAGACTGCCAATGAGAGCTTCTGGTTTTTTGGGGACAGGAACAACAAAGCAGAGTCTGAGATACCCCCAAATGGGGGTCAGGCTTCAAGTTTTTCCTGGTACGTTACAACCAAATGAGACCACCATTACACCCGGAAATATTTAAATATTTATTCATCTTTTTCAATAAATATACTCAGCAGGTGCACAAGTAAACATGGTGCAACTACGTCTGTATACAGGTATTCACAGAGATCATGGAGCAGAACAGAGGAAACTCAACACGTGCAGTCTTCTACGAACTGTGCAGATTTGGAGAGTGTGAAGATCTGAAGCGTCCTTTATCGATTTCATTTTAAGGAGGCCGTACACGGCTCGCACACAAGCAAACACACACACACCGTGTGCAGCTAAAAATCTGCTTTTTTCACTCTAAATCAGGATTGATGTGCAACATAAACAGATATTCCTCACTGCGGAAAGTGACAGATAAAAATAAATCTCTACTGCCATCGTTACAAATGCAAAGTGGACAAGGTACAAATGTTTTGTCGAAGGTTTCGGAAATCTACAAATTATGCTCTGCGTTGGAATCATTCTACAATTTTTCTACAGTAGTTTTCAAAAGTTTTCAAGCCATAAAAAGAATCCCCAAAAAATTTAAAGAAATGAAGTTGAAGACAAAAATGAAAGAAAAAAAAATAATCTAAAAGCCACTGAAACAGAAAAAAAGATTTGAATCATTTAACGGGGAATGGCAGTGACACCCAGGCTTCCGTCCAGAGCGCACCGCACACACACACACACACACACACACTTTAGATGACGGCTTGCACAAGTCTGCGTTTCACCCGTTAACGTGCCTCAGAAACGTGGAGTCCACTTCCTGTGTGGCCGGCGCACGGACGTGCATGGACGCACGTTTGAAAGGTCACATTCGGACGTTTTGACTATTTGCCCCTGTGGGTGGACTGTCTCTGGGTTTGACGGAAGCCATAGTCGGTGGAGGAATTGAGGAGAAAGGCGGGACTCAGAACATGTTCTTGACTGAAGCTGCTGCTGGAAGCCATATTTATTTACCTGTCCTTAAAAGTACTTAACTTTTTTTTAAACAAACAGCCAGAGAAAAACTATTGTGACCTGACACTGAGTTCCAGATGCTGCAGTTGCACCTCAGACGCCGTTATGTTCTCTAAACATCTCTTCCACAGAGGTAAAAAACTAACCGATTCCTAGGCCTGCTGAGACAAAAACAACTTACATGTGTAACAGCCTATGGTAACTTTATCTCTAAGGTATTGCACGGCTGAGGCGTCTCGATAAAACAAGCAGAAAACACATCACAACAGTATAATAAAGGCAACGTAAAATTCTTTGGCCCACTTTGCAGTTGCACTGCTGGGTAAAATACAACAAAAAAAAAAAAACTGCTATTAAGTGGAATGACAGCCGAAGACACCAAAACAACTCATCTGGGGGGGGAAAAAAACAGGTCGAAAGCTGCTTTTCAGGCCTTTTAAGCCGCTTTCTTCTTATTCGACAAAGGCTGAAACATCTAGACAAAAACGCCAAGCTGCTAGTGGCCATAGTCCCACTGGGAAAAGGTTCACGAGTGTAAAGGCTGAGCGTTTGCCGGCCTGGACAGTTATTCTGTCTTTTTGGCCACGTCCACCGCCCAGCTCTGCTTGTCGGACGTTGCCTAAACATCGCCTTAAATATCAGACTCGGCTCTTTTCAAGTAAAGTGCCATTCAGATTAGGCAGCTCTGAGCATGGCAGCTAGCAATCGCTCTTCAGGTTCACTTCTCCCTCTGAAGGAAACCGTTACAGCATCGGATGAAATGCTGCAGCTTTCCTTAGACCAAAAAACAGTTTCCTCTTTGGATCTTTCTTGGTGAACTTTAAGTTAACGCGGATCAAGAAAAAAACACAACAAACATGTGGCTCTACAGTAGACCAACACAACTCACCTCGTCCGATCACAAACAAGAGTTTTCTGTCCTATCAGAGAACAGTAAAAAAAATCTGCTACTTCTGTCACGTTTACGGTTCCCCGGCACAGGATCAAGTTGGGAGTCTATTGTTTTATAGCTGCGATTCTCATTCTTCACATAAAGCCTAAACACACGCCCTGTGTTTAGTTCCTATGACAAACATGAACAATAGCTCATCAATGTACGTCAGTCCAGTTATTGTTTCCTGAAGGCAGTTTATCCAGTGGTGTCTTTAACTATTTTTTTTTGTTTTTTTACATTTTCTGTCCTTAAACGGTTGCTAGTCGTATATATATTTCATTATATCTTGATTTAGCATAGCAAAAACAAACAAACGTTCTAATCTTCGAAAGATCAGACCAAAACCAGACATTCAATATTCGGAATATCCAGAAAGTGGAGTGTGATGCAGCCCATCACCTACCGGTCAAAGCCGTGTCCAGAACCAGGCCCTCAGAACGACACCTACAGCCTCTGTCTGATGACAAACAGTTAGCCGACACCTTCTTTCTGCTGCCCTGCTCTTCACCTCTGGTCACTTTGATGTGATGAACACCAATCAGATATTTTGAGACAAGATCTCAATCATATAAACCTCAGATGTCAGCAAAAGAAATCACTTCTTCTTAAAATTGCAATATTAAGCCTCCGGAAAAAAAAAGAAAATCTCATAGATGCCGCTATTATGTACAGAAGCATGTTAGACAAAAAACACCAAGCCCCCCCTCGGCGTAACAGCCCAGGCTTCAACCAGCCACTAACAGCCTAATCTAACCCACGCTGTTTACAGAAGCCAACAAAGAAAGGAGCTCGCGTTCGTCAGCAGCCCACAGGCGTTTCTAAAAGATTATCCTCATTTGCTCACATTTTGAGGAGGGGGCAGGAAAATGTGTGGACTAGATCTGATCAATGAACACACTGGCTTTATCAGAGGGCCCCTGAACCACGCTGTCCAAAAACACAGCGGCTAAGCTAAGCGGCAGCAGAGAGCATCAGTGGAGCTAAATACGGGGTTTTCCTCTTCAAAGCAGACTAAGAAATGAGCTCGCTTGTGTCCCTTTTAAGATGCGTGTGCAGATGGTTCATTGTAAGCACGTGAGAAGATTTTCACATCAAACCACCTCCATATTTTATGTGGAACTACGAAAAGTCAAGTGATTAAATTAAGCTGAAAGATTGAATGACCGACTCCTCTCAGCTTGAATCTCAAGTGTTGGAGTTTCTGAGGGAAAGCTTTTTTTACGCCTCCAATGAACCACCGAGCCTGAAGCAAAGTGCCACAGAAAAGAGAAGCCAGCCCTCTGTGTGAAGGCCTGTCCAACAGTTAGATCTGTGTCCAGCACCAGAGGTCCAGCTCGTCGTTTCTAGTCGGCTCTGAGTCTGAATGTGAATTCCTTCATTGCTTTTTTGGGGAGGTTAACTTGTTAAAAGAGAACAAAATATTGGAAAAAGGTTTCCTAGTTGGCGAAGTTTAACAGCGGAGAGAAAAAAAAAAACCTTCAGGTTGTTTCCGGAACCTGAGAGGACTTTCTGATGAAGGCAGCAGGAGGCAGAGGACCGAACATCCGCGCTCCGTCAGGAGGGGGCGCTGCGGAAGGGAAAGACTACAGATTCATGAGATCGAAAACGGGGAGAAAAGGATTCCGTCGGGTTGGCGGCTGAGCCTGATGTCCATGCAAGGCGGCGTCTTCTGAGCAGGAAGTGGTCTGCTGCAGTTCTCTGGGGGCCGTGCTGCCTATAGGACGGGTGCTCTCTTCTCTTCCGCTGTTACCTCTTCTCCTTCAGCATCAGACGGAAGTTATGGAGCTGATGTATACTGGTGGACAGCCTGCAGCAAACAGGATTGGCACAGTGTTCAGTTTCAGGTGGAAATCTGGGATACCGACAACCAACGCTTACGTCTGCGAAACCAGTACCTGCTAAAGCCGTTTATCAAGGCCACGATTTCCTGTCGGGTGAGCTGGAAGCCTTTGGATGGGCTGTGTTCGGGCAGATTTTGAATCTCCCTCTCGGAAAAGAGGATCTTCAGAGCTGTGCCCAATCCCTGGGTCTGCGTGCAAAAATAACAGATTTGTTACAACAACAAAAATGTGTGTGGGAGCTGGCTTCAGTTTATGAGTCAAGACGATGCAGACACAGCGTTCAGGCCTTTACAATCCTCTTAAGAAATCAGGGAAATAATGAAGAGTACTAAACATTTACAAACATATATACATATTTTCTTCTGAGTCTGGGTCTCCCCGGTCAGACTTCAGCTATCAGAGATCATTATAAATTCAGAGTTGAAAAAAAAACTTTAGTAAAGAAGAAACACGGTGAAATGTTGCTCTTAGTGCAATTAAAGAATTGTAAAGTATTCTAAATATAATTAACTCAGCTTTAACTGCAGCTGTTTTTACAAGCTTGGGCTTTTTTTCTTCTCCGCTTTTAGTACCAAGTTTACTTGTCAGATTACTGTGGGAAACACCTGTGGTAAACTTCAGTTTGTCTTAAAGGGTTAGAGCTAATCCTAACACAAAATCACATTTAAATGTCTATTTACAGAGGCAGTTTTAGGACTGGTTTGGAAACAGGGTCTGATTTTGAATCAGTCCACTAGTCTGTAGGAATCCTCAGTGATCTCCTGCTGAGGTTCAGGATAAAAAGAGGTTAGTAATAGTGTGGGTCCTGGTTTCTGAGGTTATTTTGTTAAACCAGCTCAATAAAGGCCGGATCAGTAAATCCTGATTCTAACTGGCTGGAAAAAAAATTGAGCTGGAAAGAATGCTGTCCCCACTCACCTGTAGCTTTCCCCACAGTCGACATTTACTGCAGCCGACACAGTCCATGATCCTGGAGATGTTTTTAAAATGGAGGCGGAATTCCTCCTGCGTGAAAGAACAAAGAAGAGGACTCTCTATTCAAATAATCTTGGATGTAAAGAAAATTCAGAGCACTTTCTAGCTATACTTGGGGTTCAGGCTTCTGTATTTGGTGCTAATAAATGTAACATATGGCAGTTAGATGTAGATCAATGCTATTAAGTATATATGGTAAACATTGTTGATTTTTACCTTTAACGTTTTCGCCTCTATTTTGTCTCCAGCAAACATGGACTTTTCATCAAAATGCATTGGGAAAGATCTGAAAGACAGAAGAGTCTGTTGAGTTTTAGGAATAGAGAGATAGAGAGAGACAATAATAACAGTGTGTGTTAACGCACTGCTTCCGGTTCCAATGTGTTAAGTGACAAAAGGAAAGCAGAGAAACAGACTAAACGCATTTCTGTTCTAAGGCGAGGACAGAATTGTACAGAAAACTAATTAAAACTGTCGATAATGGATGGGTTTGACACATTGCAGACAGCAGCAAAAAATATCAGCAGTCCAAAAAAACTGTGCTAAATTATTTGCGAGTCCAAGTCGGTATAACTACTCTTTTACTACATTTGGATTTTAGAGGCTGAAGCTCTTACTTGATCTCATTGAAGACCTGCAGCAGCAGTTCCTTGGTGCCCCCGTCCTCCTGAGAGTTTCCGGTGTACAGGTTGACGAAGGCTCGTTCAAAGTACGGCGCCACCTTGTAGAGCGCCCGCAGCTCTATCAGGTACAGGAAGTAGAGGTTCTTCAGCCGCCGCGTCCCCTCCCCCTTCGTCTCTATCGTGTCGAAGCGCTGACGGAACTCCTGGACGTTTGGCCCCCACACGGACTGGCCCCAGCCCTCTGCCAATGGAAGCAAACACTTCACCACAAGAACCGCGATTCCACGTTATCTGTGACTTCTTAACCCCAAGTTGTGTTGATATCATCTGTATCTATAGAGACTAAAGGATAACCTCATTCAAATTTCATAACACTGCAACAACAAGAACCCTTAAAAACTTAACTAATTAGTTTAGCTTCCTTATTTAAGAAAGTTTTCATCCATCAAATAAAGACTGGCTTTGTGCAGTAGCTGCAGCATTATATTAGAACTAATATGAACATGTACATTCATTTAATGGAAGACAGAGTGGGTGGTGAAGGCCCACAGCTGGCAGGGCATGTTGGAAATGTGACTGTGCTGCTCTCACCGTCCAGCAGGTACTCGGCACACAGGTGGATGTTGATGCTGCTGTGGAGGCCTGAGATGAGTCGATAGAAAACTCTTTTCTCCAAACACAAACCTGAAAAGGGAGTTCAGCTGAAGGCGTTCCGTCAAATACAAACACGTCATTTATGTGCACCCCCCTTCTCATCCCAAGGCACCGTGGTTTGAATGAGCACAAGTAATTTTATAGTAGTTTATTTGCAGCTGGTTTTCTACAATCCTCATTATTCAGGTTCAAGGTGACAAGGAGAAGATAGGAATATGAAGTAGAACTCACCTTCAAGCCAGTTGTAGAAACCTTCTCCTGCAATGTGAGGGACATCAAATAAAAATAAATAAATAGAAGCTTGACGGTTATTCTTTGATATGACTTGGAATTAATGAATGTGAAGCCAGTTAAATACTCACCATCGTCATCGCCTGAATGCAGAGTAACAGAGAAGAAAAGAGGAAAAGGTTAGATTTGACACGCAACTATGCAAACACAAGATGTCCTAAACATGATAAGCAGCAGGGCAAAAAAATCTGTCCATTTAAGTTTCAGGCTAAGTAGTTTTCGGGGTACTTTTCAGTTGATTTATTGAATGCTCAAAATGTGAAAATGTCAAAACAACATAGTAATATTAAACAATAGAGTAATACCTTTTCCTTTTGACTTTGTCATTTGTACATTCCCTTTATGGTTTATTTCATCGTTGGCTAGTTGTAGCCCATACAAAGTAGTGAAAGCACAAACAGAGCGCATCATCAAGTTCAGCCACATCAAAAACACCATTTGGAGACAAGAAACAAACACCGATATCAACCAATCAGGTACGGCTCCTCCTTCCCTGTCCTGGTAAGCTAAATGGATGAGGGAATGCGTGTACCCATTACTTGTCATATGAGGAAAATCTGAGCCAGAAGGCAGAAACTGAGAATGTGAATGATGGGAGCTGTCAGAAAAGAATGGCACGAGTCTCCCTCATTATCGGTCTATTGTACAGATCCATAGGTGTTAACTGTTCTTGTCAGTTGTCGTCATCCCTCTGCTAAGTGCATTGGTTGACCTGGTGTTAATGTTGCCAAACCAGCAGAGGAGAAAACTGAGGTGGACTGAGTTTTCTCGGAGAAAACAGTCGTTGCAAGTTCTCTGAATAACAAGTAAAATGTATCATTTATTATCCTGAGTAGTCCCAAGATATTTGTAATTTTAGACAAAGTCTGGCCACTGATTGCAGTTTGTTGACTGGCGTTTTGGTATTTAAAAATTAATCTGTGATGTGCCGAATAAACAGGAAAGAGGGAGGATGCGGATATGTATCCATTAACCACTCTGTGTTCTGGATGTTAAAAAGTCCAGAATCCAGCCCACGATATTCAAATCTAAAGAGTTTAAGAAGTTCATCGATCAGAATGTGGAGCTGGATGGTGTTCATGTGAAAATGTATATTCGTCTCAAATGCTTACGTGATTCAGAAATCGTAACGCTGGTTTGTAACACTCGGCCATCAATGGTTGTCAAGTCAATTTTATTTCCTGGCATTTACAAAACTTAGTGATTAAACTTTTAGTCGAGAAAGGAAGCTGTTCCTCCATTCCATTTACCTCAGTCCCAACCTTAGCTGTGGTACGACTGCTCTGTTCCATCTGGAAACTGTTTTTGTCTTTTTTTTTTTTATCTTTAAACCATCTTTTCAGGTCAACTTCCTAAAATTTTATCAGTGAGCCCTCCCCTTGTTTACTGCACTAAAATGACATAGAACCTGCAGTTGCTGCTTCCACAGACTCACCTCTGCCGGGAGCCAGAGGGTTCAGAGGTCGGTAGACTGACCTGGGCCTGGAAAAGGGAAAAGCAAACATGTTTATACTGAACACACAGATTCGGAGGTATAAATTCTCAGATCCTTTTGTTAGATTAATCCTGAATATTGTGTAGTTTGAATGAATAAAAGACATATAAAAACATTTCAGAGTACAGATGACAGGAAATACTAATAAGATCTGACCAAACTTGTTAAGACAGGAGCTAACACCAGCATTCAAATATATTTGACTGACAAAAGTCACTCACGAGAATTCAGAGATGGCTCTCAAATTACTTACACTGCTGTTGTTAAGATAACAAAACAGGAAACACACACTATAGCTTAAATTGATCATTTTGGAATTGGTATCCATTTAATAACTGGAAAGATTCAGTTTGGTGTATAACAAAGAAATGCCTTTGGCCCACAAAGACAACTCACAGTTTAAAAACAGCTGGTTTCATACTGTCTTTTAACTTCTATCAGAAAACGTCTTCAGTGAAGGTTTAACAACTGGGCAACTACCCCGAACTCCACGTGTGTATGTATAACTCACTTGAAACAGTTTTCCTCATAGATGCTGTTCCACACTCTCCAGGCAGATGGACCTTTGTATCCGGTGTATCGCTCGGGATTCAGCAGCAGGTCCACGTACTCTGCATCTGGAGCGGTCTCATCTGAAGAATGACGACAACAAACTTTATCATACGTACCTCCATCTTAAAAAATGCTTCAAATTAACCTGCTGACAGTAAACTGACAGTTTCTGTAGATCTCTGCTCTGTAAACGAATGTTTGTAACAGTTTTCAAAAGTCCAAGTTATACAAGCCATTTTTGTTTTGTCTTCAGAAAAACCTAAAAAAAACATGAGTGAAATATAATGTATGTTAGGTTATGGTTATCAGTCACACTGTAGTCTGGATTGCATCAAATTTGTCCTGATATAATAATCTGTCGGCATTGTTTAAGACAAATCCTCATCAGGGGCTCCAAGACTATTTCATCTGCAACAGATCTCAAAGTTTCCACGATGGTCGAGGGAAGAAATGGCCTTCCAGAATCACAGCTCCACGGTGTAACGACACAGAAGGTAGATAAAGAGTGTAGATAAAAGAACCTCACCATCTAGCTCACAGAAGTGGTCCTGAGCATCGTCATGTCTCGCCCAATCGGCAAACGCCTCCTTGCTCTGGTTACTGTAACAGGGAATAACAGTAAGTTCATAACAACTGGAAAAGGCAAACATTTGCTAAAATACCTCCTTTAGGAATGCTAAATAATAATAATAATGCTAAATTTCAACAATGTATCGATTATAAAGAACAAAAAGATCAGCGGTTTTATATAAAAATCTGTTAATAAAGTTTATCAGATCAGAGGGATAAAGAACTAACCAAAGTCATGAAGAGTTTGTAAAGTCAAGGCTTTTAAAATGTTAAAATGTGTGCCACAGCTTCCAGTTTGTCCTGTCACATCTACAGAAATATTACATTTATCTGAAGCATTTATTTTGGAGGACATTTTTTCCGATTGTAAAAAGAAACAATAAAACAAACCAACATATTCAGTGTAAAACATATACGACATATTCACAGGCTTTAAGGGTGCAGGCTCTGGCTGTGGTGTGATGGTAAGAGTTTGGCCTGTTTCGTTTTAGCTGCCATGGATACAGAGATATGGTCTCACCTCAGGGTGTTGTTGATAGCGCCCAGCTCTTTGGCCTGCTGACACTCGGACATGTCGGGGACAGTGTTGGCTGCCTGGGAGTACTGCACACAAAGAAGATTTCATGGCTTTTAATGACCAGCATCCACGGGTTTGCAGTTTCTCATTGTGAAATGTTTAAAAAAGGCTCTACAATAAAACTCAACAGTCAACTTAAAACCTCATTAAGTTAAAGGTAAAAAATAGATGCATCCGACATATTCGGGTCAGGGCAGAAAAATTGACTTTTTGCGCACATCTATTTGCACATCTATGGCTTTTAGATCAAAGAGAAGTGTTTGGTCACAGGTGTGGACCAATAAACATGCAGATTCACCAGAGCAGTCCCTATGAGAGCGAAGCTTTACTGAGTTTGCTGCTGTTAGCTGTGCTGTAGTCACACTTCAAGCAGCAGCTACTGAACCAGTTAGCAGCACGGTCCAAAAATAACTCGAGTGTTTTTTTTAATGAAACAGGAATTTCTGCCAACAGCTGACAAGCCGTCCCCAAAGCTGCTCTGACCCGATGAAAAAAGCTCTTTCAACAGTGTTACTCAACACAAGCTATAACAAATAGAAACCAGTCTGGCAGTTTGTCCTCTCAATCACTCAGTTTTTGCATACTGATTTCTTTGGAGTCTGAGAAATGGGACATTTCACTGGGTAGTGAAGCAAAAAAAACACTCAAGAATTGCTAAATCAACAGCTAGCAAGAACTCAGTCCTTGGCCGGGAGGAGATAAGCTGAGTGGTATAACAGCCAACCTTCTGTGTGTTTGTGTGTATGTGTGTGTGTGTCTACGTGTGTATTGTGCTGTCTCAGGTTTAGAGGTGGGAAGCACTGGAACAAGTGCAGCTGGATTCGGGGCATCCAAAGGGTTTCGTATCCAGAGATTAATCAACATGCCTTTCCAAATTCTCAGTAAGCATCAAATGTAAATGAATCTGCTGAAAACGATACACCTTATTCCCTTTTGAACTCCCGCCTGTCAGACAAAAACTAGACGGAGTACCTTTTAACAGGAGACCACCATTAATGCTAATTTTAAATATTTTTGCAATTTGCTAAAATAACGCTGCAGTAGATCATAAACCTTCAACTTGGATCTCACCTTGTTATAGTTCCCAGATTTGATTCCCACAGGGACCTTACTCTGTAAGAAACAAGGTACAACACACAAGCATAAATAAAGAAAAAAACTAACAGAAAACATTCATTCAGGGCATTTTTTTATAATGCTAAACTTGTATTCACTTAACATTAATACAGAAATGTGAGATTCAGCCAATGAGAAGAACTAGATGTTGGGCTGCAAGTGTAGGTGACCTCTGACCTCTGGACAGGGCTCCACGTGACAGTCTTTGATGGAGCAGTGTCCATCATCGGGCCAGAAAGGACACGGCCGTTTTAAGTTCACCTGGAGCAAAAAAAAAAAAAAAGAAAAATGGAGGGATAAAGTCACTGCTGTTTAGCATTTAGCTCTGGCTTTCTGAGACTCTCACCCAAACAAAGGCAGGACCTGTCAGGAAGCTGTGAAATACATTCTGAGCGTAACAGATAAGCAGCCTTTATCAATATGAAGATGCAAAAATAAAGTTTGCCCAGAAAAACGTTATGAAGCCGTCTGGTCTGTGGAGCTTGAAGCAGGTTTGAGCAGATTTTCCCTGTCAGTTAGCAAGACATTACCTGGCTTTGGCAGCTTTGGATCCCTAACAGGCAGCATGTAGCACAGCTGTTAGGAATCAAAGGTACTTCTCTTTAAAAAGTTTTAAAAAATAATAAATTACAACTTGCATTTCTGCAAAATAACACCTGGTGAACAACACCTCAGACCAACACTTCCAGCTGGCATTTCCTCTGGAAGTATTGGCACACTAAAAAAAGAATGCTTCATTATATATAGGGGATATATAATCTAATAAAAAAATTAATTCCTTTTCTAAAGAGTATGGCAACTTGCTTGTCCTCATACAGTTCTGAGCTGCATGTTTATTTCCTACAGCTACAGTGGAAGTATTACACCACAGTTCATGAACACGTCACTTCCTTCCTGTTGTGTTACAGCTCCTAACTCCACTATAAAGAAAAGAGACACAACTAAATAGTCTCATGCTCCTGGTAGCGATTTAGATTAGCCACAGAAAAGGTGGTTATTTGAGATCATCTTCCACTTTAATATTGATAGTGTTCTTTCCACGGCAGCTACTGTCAATGCAACTGTGGAATAACTAAATACAGCTGCGTCCCCCTAAGATTTACAGGTCACAGAATGGTTTTGTTGGTCAGGACATCATGCGATTTGAATTCTACATTGTATGCCGGGACAGAGTATTCAGGCATTTTTGTCCTTTTTCTGGACTGTGTTTAAGTTATTCACCTTATTATGTTTTTGTCACTTTACGAAGTTAGAGTTTTGCTTTCCAGTTTAACATAAATTGTATGCTTGTGGCTTTTCCCTGCTGTATTCTGTCTTATTATTTTTGTAAGAATATTTCAAAGGACATAGACCCAGATAGAATAAAAAATTATTTCTCCCCATGGGGAAGGAAAAAAGTACTTTTCATTTGTTATTCTATTTTTTCTATACAGAAACAAAACTTCTCCAGGACTAACTTTAAGAGAAAAAGTCCAACCCTGGTGAATCAGATTAATTTACTTGTTGTTACTGCACAAAGCTGGAAGAGTCAGTGAAGCGGCACTCCCCCGAACAGCAGCAGCTCTTACCCTGTAGTATCTGAAGTAGTCCCTCTCGGTCAGCTTCTGAATGCGAGGGTATATCTTGAAGTTGTTGAAGAGGTCGATGCTCTCGACGTCACAAAAACAATCGTCCAGGACTCCTGTGAGCTGAAGCAGAGCACAAAGAAACCAGAAGTTCACTTACTTGCTCAATTTAAAGACATTTCTCGAAGCCTTAAAGCTTTTTTCTTTTTTTTTTAACCAATTAACACAAGTGTGTTTTTAAATAATTGCCACAGGATGTCTTTGAAATGCGTATGTTTCATACCTGACACTTATCTGTGAGCTTACTGATCATACTCTTTATTCCACAGATTCTTTCAGTTGAACAAAACAGAAAGTTGCAGACAACAACCACTTAAAGCAAATTCTGAATAGTAAATGTTGGGTTTATATTGAGCTGCATTTCATCATTTCATTGGTTAAACTTAGTCAGATTTAAAAAAAACACACTATAACAAATGAAAGTATATCAGACCTAGTCTGTCCCAGTCTTTAATGAATTTTCTTGGCCACACACTGTTAGCAACATGTTGATTCATTGTGTACTCTTCCCAGTTGCCTGCTTTCCCAGCACTGAGCAGCAGTCAGAAAAAAATCACCACCTACCTGCACTTTGATACATTATTCATCCACATGGTGCCGGGCGTTATCTGAGCCCACGGAGACCAAACAGAATGCGGACTGTCGACATGTTTAACAAACCCGCAGAGCAACTACACAAACATGGAAACCCGAGGACACTAATAAGTTCAGTAAACAGCCATTAAAGCTGGGCCTTTGTGGTCCCTAAGGCTGCAACTTGGTTTAGTTCTTACAGGTTGCTGCACCTGCAGCATCAGCAGCAGGTAAGCAGCCAGCAGCTGTAGTTAAATGGAGTGGAAAATGGAGTTAGCTCAGCTGGGAACCGCAATTAGCGGGTGATCATGGCCCTAGACATATGTCACTCTCTAATTGACTAATAACTTAAAACACATTTATAATAACTTGAAAATACGCTGCTTTGAGAAACTACAAGTTTGTTTCTTTTTGTTTAAAATGGCCTTTAGATAAAATAAGAAAACTTGAGTAAGATAATGTTGGAATTTGACAGTAAAAAATTAGTTGTAATTTTTTCATTTGCACACACTGACTGAAATTGATAAGAACTGAGAAATATATTTGTGTGACATAGACCTACCAATATTCCTCTGATTTCAGATACTTAAACGTTTCAGGACAGGCTAACATATGTGTACGGACAAAATTATTAATACTTTAATCTTGGCACTGGTGAACAGAGGCAAACACCACAGAAACTGCACAACCAAAAATACTTGAGTCAACAAATTCTGTAAGCTAGTCTATGTACTGGTGCTCTTCAGTTTCAAAAACTCTGCTACAAAAAAACTAAACGTCATTTTGTATCAATTCACTTTTACAATTTACTGATTCTATTTTTTTCTTCACAACACTTTTTCTCCATTTATAGTTCACGGGAGGTCTATGGAGTACAAAAATGTAAATAAAAACACAAAACATATATAAACATGCTATTCAACACATGTTTAACTAATCAGATCATTCGTTATTAAAAGTTAAATAAGGACACAAAGACTGGATCAAGCATACGCTTAAGTTCATGTTTTTCTGAATTTCAGGAAGTATAAAAACACAAATAAAGTCAGTTTAAAAAAGCATATGAAAGCTTTTACTGTTACTGTATGAAATTGGATGAACTTCAGCTACTCATGAACATTTAGAAACATCTGTAAATCTTCATACGCGGCAACAAGCATCACAAAAACTTTACCACAGCTGACCTCTATGGGTAGAAGTTCACCGAAGGCCAGGGAAAACAGATAAAGGCTCAGTCCTCTCAGCATCTTGGCGTTCGGTCCTGATTTAGTTGTTATTTTTCGGGTTGTTTTTCTTTTTTAACTCCCTCTCATCTCAAATGTATTTCCATATGTCACAGTAGCACCTCTATCTGTCTGTGTGGGCTGAGCAGTCAATGCTGTGCTGTAGTCCCATGCCCCCCCTGGACTCCTCCTCCAAACAAACAGCCCTGTCACATTGAGCTCTGCCACTCAACAAGCCGCCCTGTTTGTAGTCCTCTGTGAGCAAACGCCCTCAGGGAAGAGTGTCGCTTGCGGCGTACTGGACTACAACTCCCGGTAGGGGGCATAAGGTGGAGCAAAACCAGAGCCAATAACAAAACACCACGCTTTTCAACTTACTGGAGGAAAGACCAGTTTGGCACAAAGTCACACCTTGAATTCAAGTTTAGGACTGGTTTTATTAATCTGTGCTTCTTTTAAATGTCCCTTTGCTGCAACTAAATGTTTTAATGACAGAGTCACAATGGAAAAAAAATTTATGTGAAGGAATACATGACGAAGCCAATGAGAGTAACATTTCAAACATCACCAATAATAGGTGTTGCAAATAAAGTATAATAATATATTTGTATACGTTTTATTTATATATCTTTGCTAACTTTAAATAACTATCACTCCTACGCTGCGATGTGTTTTTTTTTTATGTAGTCGGCTGGAACATGTTGTCAAATAAACATACAAATATTCAAATTTGGGAGAAAATAAATCAGACACTACAGGGAAGCAGCAGGTTTACGCCACACCGACACGATGACGTCAAACGAACATGACAGTGGAAAGTACTGGAACATTTTCTCAATAACTTCTTCCATGACTTTGCCACGTCAAAGCTGTTTAGTTTAAAATGCTCTGAAAGAACTGCTGTGAGTTTAAGGTGAAAGCAGTACTTTGTGGGTGGTTACTTACATGGCAGAGGCAGCTTTGGTCTTGGCTGTCTGAGGAGCTTCTCGGATGTTCGTTGTGCTGCGTTTGAGGTCTCACGTTGTTTCGCTGAAACCAACCCAGAACAAAGTTCCCAAAGAAGCACACCGACAGAAGAACGCCAAACGCTTGTGGCGTTACTTTCCACATCACTCACTTGGCTAATAGCGCACCGAGGGGAGAATCAAAACAAACCCGAGCCACTATGGTTTCTGTCCTGTGTGTCTGTGAGGCGAGATAAGAGCTAGCTTACTACTGCTCCAGGCCGGTTGAAACTAGCATCCGCATGCTAACAACAGGCACAAAAGGAGAGCAGCTCGGGAAAAGAAGATGTGTCGTATACGAGAACCCTCACGTAGACGTTTCGACTTCCGAATTCCCAAACTGGCATTAAGTTAGCGGTACCAGAACGATGCAGTTACAGCTATTTCCCCCCACCACCATCTCATAACCAAAAGAAATATGGTTTACTTCCGGTTAGTTTTCAAAATAAACTGCGTGGCTCCATACGCAGTAAACGGAAGGCCCCTACTTAAGATTCAGCACAGGCCCGTAAAATGTTTTGAGTTATGGTTGTGCAGTTTCTTAATATAAAATCAAAGTAAAATGCCCTTTTAATTGTGAAAATTAAGTTATTAAAGCATCATGTACTGCAACCACAATCTCATCACGAACATTAGTTTTACATTAAGTTTGTAAACATGCTAATATAACCTTGTTAAGAGACGTGTTGGACAGAAAGTTGTAGTAAAACAGAAGTAGTGCATTTACACTGTTGAACGTGTCATTAGAAGAAGAAATTTTGTGTTATTTAGTGACTGTTCAGTCATTTCAGATACTGAATCCCAATTTTTAATCCATAATTCCCCCCCCATGCTGAACAATAAAACAATAAAACTCTAAATTAATACATGTATGACAGCTGCCATATATATATATATACATACCCTTAAAAAACACTCAGATTATCCAAAATCAATCATCTGGAATCTCTGAGTTAGAGGTTTCAGTGTCTCAGACTGAGGCTGCGGAGGAATTCCAGGACACATTTTTATGTCAGAACTTTTCTTTAGTGGCCAAATGAACCTTTTTAGAAGGCTCTGGCCTCTATCAGAACAATTTTATCAAGAACTGTCAGAATGGTATTGCAGTAAAGAGTTTCTCACGTGATCCATCTGAAAGTAAAAAGGGGGTAAAAAAAAACAGAAATCAGGTTTTTCTTCATGTTTTCAGTTCATAGACTTCATTGACAATGAGCCAGTTTGCCACGGCAGTGAAATACAGGAAATATCAGATACTGAACTTTAAAAATACTTTTTCACAGTAACAGCATTTTCATTCAGCGGAAATTGACAAAATACCAGTTTAACAAACAGTCAGGCTTCAAATACAGAAAAACAAGACACTTTTAACAAAAGACGGAAACCTGAACAACAAATGAGCCTCATAAAAAGCAGCTCAAACGGCCCAGAGCAGACTGGACGACTCAGTTCTGACTTTTGGAGGTATCCACGTCTTAGGGGGTTAATCCACTTCAGAAGCAGCTCCTGGATAAAGATCTGAACAGGGACGCCCTGGATCCTGGACTCTCGTCTCTGGGAGCAAAGAAAGACAAAAGTAAAAAGCTGCTTCAAGATTTCAGGATGTTTGAGACTTTAAAAAAGCAGCAAAAACTGATTTTAACCACAAACCAGAACAAAAAAAAGCAAAAAACAGAAAAATGAAGTCTTTAAATCCAACTGAAAAACACAGAAACAGGCTTTTAACAGAGATCAAATTACCTTTAACCTGCTGCTGGGGACGAATGAAAACGATGAAGACGGCTCTGATCGCGCCGACGGTCAAAGCAACGTTTACCAAAAGCAGAGCCACAGCTCCAAAGATCCAATAAGCTGTGAAACAAAACCCGACAGAACCGCTCAATATGAAATGGGAGAAATCTAAATTAAAATTATTTATCATTCATTTTTAATGATAAATCTGCAGGGTTTGTCATTTTCAAAGACGTTTCATTCATTAAATAACCAGAAAATAAAGAAATTAGCTCTATAATACCATCTACAGGGGTTGGACAATGAAACTGAAACACCTTTCATTTTAGTGTGGGAGGTTTCATGGCTAAATTGGACCAGCCTGGTGGCCAATCTTCATTAATTGCACATTGAACCAATAAGAGCACACTGTGAAGGTCCAATTAGCAGGGTAAAAGCACAGTTTTGCTCGAAATATTGCAATGCACACAACATTATAGGTGACATACAAGAGTTCAAAAGAGGACCAATTGTTGGTGCACTTCTTGCTGGTGCATCTGTGACCAAGACAGCAAGTCTCTGTGATGTATCAATAGCCACGATATCCAGGGTATAGTCAGCATACCACCAAGAAGGACGAACCACATCCAACAGGATTAACGGTGGACGCAAGAGGAAGCTGTCTGAAAGGGATGTTCGGGTGCTAACCCGGATTGTATCCAAAAAACATAAAACCACGGCTTCCCAATTCACAGCAGAATTAAGTGTGCACCTCAACTCTCCTGTTTCCACCAAAACTGTCCGTCGGGAGCTCCACAGGGTCAATATATACGTCCGGGCTGCTATAGCCAAACCTTTGGTCACTCGTGCCGATGCCAAACGTCGGTTTCAATGGTGCAAGGAGTGCAAATCTTGGGATGTGGACAATGTGAAACATGTATTGTTCTCTGATGAGTCCGCCTTTACTGTTTTCCCCACATCCGGGAGAGTTACGGTGTGGAGAAGCCCCAAAGGAGCGTACCACCCAGACTGTTGCATGCCCAGAGTGAAGCATGGGGGTGGATCAGTGATGGTTTGGGCTGCCATATCATGGCATTCCCTTGGCCCCATACTTGTGCTAGATGGGCGCGTCACTGCCAATGAATACCGAACCATTCTGGAGGACCATGTGCATCCAATGGTTCAAACATTGTATCCTGAAGGAGGTGCCGTGTATCAGGATGACAATGCACCAATACACACAGCAAGACTGGTGAAAGATTGGTTTTATGAACATGAAAGTGAAGTTGAACATCTCCCATGGCCTGCACAGTCACCAGATCTAAATATTATTGGGCCACTTTGGGGTGTTTTGGACGAGCGAGTCAGGAAATATTTTCCTCCACCAGCATCACGTCGTGACCTGGCCACTATCTGCAAGAAGAATGGCTGAAAATCCCTCTGACCACTGAGCAGGACTTATATATGTCATTCCCAAGACGAATTGACGCTGTATTTGCCGCAAAAGGAGGCCCTACACCATACTAATAAAGTATTGTGGTCCAAAACCAGGTGTTTCAGTTTCATTGTCCAATCCCTGTATATATGAATAATAAGAATGACTCACTGCCACCTTGTGGCCAAAGGGTGTAACTACAAACTTAATAAATGTAATTCCCAAGGACTTTTTCTCTCTTTTAAAGCAAAACAATTATCTAAGTGTGACACATAAACATAAAATAGCTGACAAACATGGAGGAAGTTCAGGGTCAGGTGTAAGGAACTTTTAAAAGAGGTGTTTTAGTGACATTATGGCAGCCTATGTGCTTTTATTTATGTTTTTATTACAAAGGATTCGTGTGCAGAAACAAACGGCTGTACAAGAATAAATGTTATATTTTGAAACATCAGTACGCTTCACCACTGTTCGGCACTTAAAATTAATCTTACAGTGTCTTTTCTCCTCCTTTGTCCGATTTTGCGTCTGGTTAAAATCACCCGATGTGGTCACATTGATGTTCAGTCTGCTCACTTCAGGGGTGGGAACAGGGTCTGGAGGGGAAATGAAGGGAGAAAAGAGATGGTTGGAGGCAGAAAGGTGAGAAAGAATAGAGGTTTAAAGCAGAAAGAGCTGCAGCAAACACGTCCTGATGCTGGACTCAGCAAACATTGGGGGATGATCACGAAACCCTGTCTGCTCGGCTGAGGTTCCACATGGAGCTGTTTCCAGGACAGTCAGAGCACCAGCACACTGATCTGAGCAGCTTCAGGAGGAAAAGCCACAAAAGACACTCACCAAACTGTCAAGAATGGTAACTCAAGGCAGGGGAGTGGAGTGGAAAGGCAAGACAAATTACCAAAATGATAATCGGTCAAGAAAAGAGGCAGACAAAGCTGTGAACAAAGTATCAAATAATCTCACTCTAAACAAAGGATGGCAAAAGTTACAAAGTATGAAATCAAAATAACTCTTACGAGGCATAAACAAGACTGTGGACAAAGTAAAAAAATAAACTCACTCCAAATGGAGGCATAAATGGGGTTATGCCTTAAATGGTTTGTCATGACATGACAACCATGGAGACAGGACAAAACTCCAAAAATTCCCCCAGACGTGACACAAACACTCGGAGCCAATAAGAGTAGCTGAAAAGGCGCCCCAGTTTAAAGTGAACGTTACAAACTCCGTGATTGTAAAGAGTCCCGTTTGTTTGTTCCAGTGAATTTTGTTCATATAGATTTTTTTCTTCTATGACAAATTTTCCATTTATTACTGAAGCTATAATACTTCCATTATAATAAAGAAACCCTGACACGAGCCCAAAGCCTCGGTTAGGGGCCAAAAACCACGTATATCTCCTTTTGCAACTTTTACTTAAAGAAAAATTTCGGAGTAGGCTATTAGGGCCCACAAAAACCCAGAGATTAGTAACTAAACTACTTTTCAGAGCTTCCTGAGTTGCTTTTCCACATCAAGAAGAGCCTCAAAACGGCTGCCCTCATAGTCTACTAAACACCGAGATGCAGAAATTTAGGAGGAAAAACACTCACCGAACACTCTGAGCAAATAGGAGGAGCTGTAAACCGGCTCCTCTTTAGAGCCCACCGTATAAACTCCTGAGTAGTTCCTCTGCAGGTCTGTGATTGTAAAGAGTCCAGTCTGTTTGTTCCAGTGAACTCTGTTCACATAACGGTAATGTTGTATGTCAAATTCTCCTTTTATCACCGAAGCTATGACACTTCTGTTATAGTAGAGAAAGCCTTTCCGCAGGAGCGAAGCGGGCAGAGTGATGCTTCCTCCAACAACTCCTCTCAGCTCCTCCTTCTTCTCTCCTCCAGCTGCAGAAAGTCCCGTCACTGGGAAACAATCAGAGCAAAAGCCAGCTTCAGGTAGGGCCTCGACTAACTAACTAACTAACTAACTAACTAACTAACTAACTAACTAACT